CAGGCAGAGGGTGATGAGTGAGCAGGAAGCCCCAAAAGAGCCATTTTTTTAAGGCATTCCATGAAAAATGATGCTCTGATCCATGTAGCTGCATTTCTGTGTCAAGCTCAGGAACCTAAACCATGGGACACCAGGACAGATTCCCCCAGTTCCATTGGTCTCCTACTGTTTCTGCTCCCAGTTTTCAGCCTCAAGACATCCCAAAGCAACAGGAAGACTTGGGAGCAGTCCCTGGATTCTCATGGATGTTTACACCTGCAGGAGTCTGACCAGCAAATTCCTTCTTCACTCATTCCCACCACCACCAAATCCCCCTTATGGCCCAGCATGTGGGTCAAGGGGCAATCCCAGCTGTCCTGGGGTCACCTCACTGTATCAGCTCCAGTATTCTACAGTCCTTCATCCAAGGAAAACAGAGAAATTTCCAGACCTCTTCCTGCAGGGCGATACTTCCTCCCCACAGGCACCAAGTGCTCCATAATCAAAATCACCAGGAGTGTTACCAACATCAGGAACACGGGAACAGGTTGTCTAGAGAAGTTCTGGATGACAGAGGGAGGGTTTAGATGGGATATTGGGAAGAAATCCTTCCCTGGGAGGGTGGTGAGGCCCTGGAATGGATTTCCCAGAGAAGCTGTGGCTGCCCCATCTCTGCAATGTCCCAGACCAGGTTGGCTGGGGCTTGGAGCAACCTGGGATAGTGGAAGGTGTCCCTGCCCATGTGGGACTGGATGATCCTTAAGGTCCCATCCCATCCAAACCATTCCAGGGTTCCATGATCACATATATCCAAACATTCCCACGGGCAAAAACATCCACTCCTGGTAACTCCAAGCTTGGAGATTCCTGTGCACACACAGCCCAGCAACCCCTGCACGGACACACGGCTGCTCCACAGACAATATTCCCAGTGTTCCAGCCACTTGTGCTCCATGAATACGCGTGGAGCTGTTGGATAACCTTCATGGAAACCTTCCCCTTCTGCTGAACCAACTCTTGTCTTTCCCAGCTCCACCTCAACCCCAAACCTGGGGCGCTTCCAGCACTTGCTCTCCTTTCTCTGCTCCTTTCCCAATTCCCGCTTCCCAGCCCCCGCCGGCCCCGCTCGGAACATCTTTCCCGCTGTACATTCTTCCCCAAGCCCTTATCTCATAAATTAGCCGGGAGAGGGATCCCAAATAGCTGAGCCGTGGCGTAAGCGTTTCCCTGAGGCAGGGGTGGGCGGGAGCAAGGGAAAGGTTGGGAGCAGGATGCCAGCCAAGGGTCAGACGCTGTCAACTCCCTCCTTCTCCTTTGAATCCAAACACAAACGCTCCAGGAACACTCCCAAACCCATGGAAATCTCCTTTCCCTCCCAGGCCAGAACCCCCCAGCATCCCACACTCACTGCTCCAGGATTTTTGCCTGAGCTCTCCTTAACAGGATGGTCCTGGGGACCTCCAAACACATGGATCAGCTGTCCTAACACAAACCATGGAGTTTGGGAAGATTCCTGAGTGGGAAGGGACGGTCCATGAGAATCATCCAAGTCTATCTCCTGGCCCTGCATAGGACAATCCCAAAAATTCCACCATGTGCCTGGACAACAATAGAATCTTCCCAACACAGGAGAAGCTCCTAAGGACACTCAATACGAAAAGTCAGGATTGCATTCCCAGCACCTTCATCCCAGGAAAACGTGAAGTTATTCCCAACGCATCTTTTCCCTCAGAGACTTTTCCCTAGCCCATCCCAAATACCAGAGTAAAGCCTGGGACCCTTCCCATCACTTTTCTGGTTCTCCATCCTCATACACCTCAGATCTCACCCACAAAGAGCAGACAGCCATATTCCAAGGAAATAAGGATATCTGGGAAAACAAGGATGGCCAGGGAAACACGGATACCCATGGAAGTAAATATATCCAGGAAGACAAGGCTATCTAGGGACACAAGGATACTCAGGAAAACAAAGACATCCATGGAAATAAATATATCCAGGAAAACAAGGATACCTAGGAAACAGAAATCAACAAGGAAATATGGATATCCAGGAAAACAAGGATACCCAGGAAAACAAGGACACCCAGGGAAACAAAGGATACCCAGGGAAACAAAGGACACCCAGGAAAATAAGGAAATCCTGCCCAAACAAACACCAAGGAAAACTCAGGAAAATCGAGGTCCAGCTCTCACAGCTGAGAAAAACCAGGGACACCAACCAGACCCAAGATTTTGGAAGCATTTGCTTCCGAAAACAAGCCTAGCTATGCAGATGGGACCAGCCAAATTCCAGGATTTGGAATGACCACAGGCACCGATTCTTCCCCAGCTCCACCAGCACAGCCCCCACTCCCAAACATCTCCATGAGGACCCCGGTTAATCCTTGTCTGACACTGGAAAACACAAGGGCTTAGGGATTCTGCCTAAATTTTCTGGGATTTCTTACACCAGGCTCAAATCCTGGGAAAATCAGAGTCAAGCAAAGGAATGAGAATTCCCAAGTTATTCCAGGCTTCTCAGCCTGCAGGAAGAAATCTCTTCAGGGGTGGGATGATCCATAAGAAGAAGAAAATATTTCACTCCAAGTGACAAATAGGTTGGAAAATTATTTCCTTATGATGGGAATTCAGTGATAAACTTTAAAGGAGTGATGGGATAATTAATTTATTCCAGTAAATTATTAAACTCTAACAGATCTATTGTTTACCACATCCAAAAACCATTAATTCCTCAGGAGGGCCAGATTCCAGAGCAAATCTAACTCCATGCCATGATTTAAGGCACTGACCTTCACTCCCAAAAAACCAGAGAACACTTTGGCCACAGAATTCCTCGGAGCACAACAATTAAACCTGGCACAAGAGGGAAAAACTGAGCAGCAATTCCTGGTGGCAAAACTTTCTTCTCTTCCCTTCTCCCCCTCCAGCTCCATGTCGGAACAGATGCTCTGGAATAACAACAGGAGTGGGATCGAGCTGCCCAAACAAAGTTGTGCTCTATGGAATACTTGGCTCAGAGAGGTTTTAAGGATTTTATAGCTGAGGGTAAGAAATATCCTTCAGGCACAGTTTCCTTGATCCTGGGTTTTTACAGGGACAGGATGGTTTTGATTCAAAAGAAAGAAGGAGAAAGAGATTAAAAAAGGGAAAAAGGAAGACGCAACAGGGAGAAAGGAGGAGGAAAAGGGGGAGAAAAGCAAGAAGAAAGAAAGAAAGGAGGAAAACAGAAAGGGAGAATCCCAGGATGGCTGAGGTTGTCTGGGATCTCTTGGAGTCATCTTGCTCGAGCAGGATCATCCCCCCACATCCCGGAAAGAACAGGAAAACAGTAAAAGAAAGAAATCTCCACATTATAATAAAGATGCTCTGGGGAGATGGAGAAACTCCCTATCTCCAGCTGAAGAGACAGAGAGCTGGTCCACAAATAACATCGGGATGTTGAGCCAGAGCTCTGCAGGACTCCCAGGAGGAGCTCAGCACCCCCAGCATGGGAAGTGGGAAAGGAGGATTTAGGAGCTTGGCCCAGTGAAATCCTAAAATCAAAGGAAACCCCAGAAGGCTGCAGGGAACACGGGCTGGGAGTGGCTGATAAGAGCCCTCGTGGTGAGGCTTCCCATCCCTGCTAATCCTGGGGCTCCTGGGAATCTGGGATCATGGCTGGAACTAACAGGGGGTGCTTTTTCCTTTGAAGAAAAGATGCCTTACTGAGAGGTCACAGGGATGCCAGGAGAGAGGGAAACAAGGAGGAAGCAGCTGGAGCTTCCACTCGCTCCCAAGAACATCTTCTGTTCCCACTTTCCAGGATAAATCCTTCTACCAGCCAAAGAATCCACAGGGACAGTCCTGCCCCAACTGCTTCTGGGGGCTCACTGCACAATCCCACTGCTCCAAAGGGGATCCCAGCTCTGGAGTTCACCCAGAGTGGATTGGGATCCACCCCAGGACCTGTTGGGGCAACACAGCCTCACATTATTCCCTCAAGCAGCACATCCATGTGCCAGGGGCTCATCCCAAAGGACACAGCCTGTGGCAACTAAACCTGGGCCTGGCAAGCGACCCACTGGAAAACAAGGGAGGGAAACAAAGCAACGAGGGGGAAAGAGAAGGAACCAGCCACTCCACAAGGAAGAGCGGAGCGTGCCAAGAAGGCCAGAGCAGGGAAGGGAACACGGAGCCGAGGCAGGAACAACAATGGGATCAGGCTCCCAACACATCCCAGTTCAGGTATGAGCAACTACATTTCATCCAACAGAGGCCAAGTTCTCTTCCCGACCACTTTTCCACCCTGGTGGGAAGGAGAGTGATCCACAGCCATGCGGTGTCCACAAGGATCCAGGCTCTGGAAAAGGTCTGGGATCCGTAGGCCAGAGCCACTGCCATGAGCCTGCTCCTGCTCCAAGGATGGTGAGGGACATTCCAAGGTCCTTGGTGGGGTCGCAGTGGGAATCTAAGGCACGGCACAGCACAATTCCCAGGATATGCAGCTTGGCACCCACGGTGTGCACTGCAGGATGCACAACTGCCCTTGGATTGTGCCCCGGGACAGGGATCCGTGCCATTCCAGAGCTGGCTAGGATGGTATGGAGCCAGGCTGGGAGAGCTGGGATTGTTTAGCCTGGAGAAGGCAGAGCTCCAGGGAGACCTTGGAGCCCCTTCCAGTGCCTAAAGAGACTCCAGGAGAGCTGGAGAGGGACTTTGACAGAGGGCCTGGAGTGACAGGACAAGGGGGAATGGCTTCCCACTGCCAGGGAACAGGGTTAGACGGGATGTTGTGAAGGAATTCCTGTGAGGGTGCTGAGGCCCGGGAATGGGTTTCCCAGAGCAGCTGCGGCTGCCCCATCCCTGGAAGTGTCCCAGGCCAGGCTGGCCGGGCTTGGAGCAAGCCGGGCTAGCGGAAGGTGTCCCTGCCCAGGGCAGCGGGGTGCCTCTGGATGAGCCCCAGGCTCCCTTCCCACCCAGCCCGCCGCAAGGCCGCTCCCGGAGCGGGCCGGCACTCGGGGCCGGCGCTGCCCTCGTTACCTTCGAAGAAGCGCTGCAGAGCCTCCGTCTCGTCCACCACCTCCATGGCTGGGCCATGCACGGGCCGGCCCCGGCTCACTCCGTGCGGCTGCAGGGGGGCATCGCCCCGGCCCGGGGGGCCCCGCCGCGACCCCCGAGCCCCGTCCGAGCCCCGAGCCCCGCTCTCAGCGCCGGGCTCCCGCTGCCCGTGCCCAGCGCGGCCGCCCGATGCCCATCGGCGTCCGCCGAGCGCTGCCCCGGACTCGGGCTGCCGCCGCCGCTCCTCCCTCCTTCCCCGCTGCCCTCCCTCTTTCCCGGCCCTTCCCCGCCCGCCGCTCCTCCTCCGCCCGGCACCGCGCTCGGGGCACCCCCGCCGACAGGGTTCGGAGACGCCGCCGAGCCGCGAGGTTGGCAAAAGTCACCTAAAAACAGTAGCGAGGGACCGGGAGGAACCTCTGAAATAAAAAATCCGGTCGGGAAGCGCTGAAGAGCAGCCACAAGCCGCCAAAAACCAGCCCCGAGTCACAAGCCACTAAAGCCCCAAAAGCAGTCACAAGCCACCAAAAATCAGCTGCTAAAGCCCCAAAAACCAGCCACTAAAGCCCCCAAAACTGGCTACTAAACTATCATAAAGTTCTGTGCACAAAGCACGAAAAGAAAGGAGCCATAAATCAATCAGAAAACAAAAAAGCAGGCACAAACTACCAAAATCTGTCCGGCAAAACCTCAAAAACAGCCACAAAGCACCAAAATTTGCCCACAAGGCACCAAAACCCCTCACAAAGCAGTAAAATTTGTGCACTGAGCGCCAAATCCCTCACAAAGCACCAATTCCCCTCACAAAACACCAAAATTTGTGCAGAAGGCACCAAAACCCTTCCTAAAGTACCAATCTCCCTCACAAAGCACCAAAATTTGTGCACTGAGCGCCAAATCCCTCACAAAGCACCAATTCCCCTCACAAACCGCCAAAATTTGTGCAGAAGGCACCAAAACCCTTCCTAAAGCACCAATCTCCCTCAAAAACTCCAAAATTTGTGAACAAAGCACCAAAATCCCTCACAAAGCACCAAAATTTGTGCACTGAGCGCCGAAGTCCCTCACAAGGCACCAATCCCCCCTCAAAAACTCCAAAATTTGTGAACAAAGCACCAAAACCCCTCACAAGGCACCAAAATTTGTTCACAAGGCACCAAAGCACCACAATCTGCCAATAAGCAAAGCAAAATCCCTCACAAAGCACCAAAATTTGTGCACTGAGCGCCAAAGCACCACAATCTGCCACTAAGCAAAGGCACAAGGCATCAAAAAATCAGCCAAAAGCTGCCAAAATCCAGCCACAAACCACTGGAAAAAAAGCACCAGCAAAGCACCAAAATCCAGCCACAAAGCACTAAGAAAAAAGGCTGGCTCCAAGCCACCAAAAATCCAGCCACAAACTACCAAAATCTGTCCATAAACTACTAAAAACCCAAAGCTATAGAGCACTAAGACATGGCAACAAGTCACCAAACATCACAAGCTACCAAAATTCATCCAGAAACCACAAAAAATCCAGTCACAAACTACCAAAATGTGTTCACAGAGCACAAAAAACACTCACAAAGCACCAAAATCTGTGCACAAAGCACCAAAATCGTGCACAAAGCACCAAAATCTACCACCAAGCACCAAGCTCCCCTCACAAAACACCAAAATCTGCCACAAAGCAAAGTTACAAGCCACAAAAAAGACAGCCACCAAAACCCAGCCACAAATCACTGAAAAACACCCCCAAAGCAACAAAATCTGTCCCCAAAGCCAAAATGTGTTCACAGAGCACAAAAAACACTCACAAAGCACCAAAATCTACCACAAAGCACCAAGCTCTCCTCATAAAACACCAAAATCTGCCACAAAGTTACAAGGCACCAAAAAAAGACAGCCACAAGCCACCAAAATCTGGCCAGAAATCACCGAAAAACACCCTCAAAGCAACAAAAGCTGTCCCCAAAGTAAACAAATCTGTCCCCAAAGTCATAAGGCACCAAAAAAGAGCCACAAATCATTAAAAATCCAGCCACAAATGACCAAAATCCATCCAGAAATTACAAAAACCTAGTCACAAAGTACCAAAACCCAGCCACAAAACACTGAACCCACCACAAATTACAAAAATGCAGCCACAAACCAGCAAACCTGTTCATAAAACCAGCCCTGAGGCACAAAATCCAACCACAAACCACCAAAATCCTCCCAGAAATTCCAAAACCAGCCACAAATCACTGGAATCCTGTTTTTAAAAAAGGCATCACTGAAATCCAGGCACAAATTACAGAACCAGGAAATCCCCAAAATCCAGCCTCACATTCCAGCCACAGACCACAAAAACGACTGCAAATCACTAAAATCCAGCTGCAGATCACCCTAAAACAGCCCCAAATCATCAAAATTGAATGTCAAATCACCAAAAGACAGCCCCAAATCACCCTAAACACCAAATCCAGCCCTAAATCATCAAAATGCAGCTGCAAACTCCCAAAACCCAGTCACAAATCCAGCCCTAAATCACTAGAATCCAGCCCTAAATCCACCAAAAATTAGCCCCCAAATCACCCAAATTCAGCTCCAAATCACCCTAAACCAGCCCTAAACACCAAGTCCAGCTGCAAATCACCCAAATCCAGCCCAAATCACCCAAATCCAGCTGCAAATCACCCTAAACCAGCCCCAAGCACCAAATTCGTCCCTACATCATCAAAATCCAGCTACACACCACCAAAATCCAACCTCAAATCACCCCAAATCAGCCCAAACCAGCAAATCCAGCCCCAAATCATCCAAATCCAGCCCTGAATCATCCAAATCCAGCCCCAAATCACCCAAATCCAGCCCCAAATCCCACCCCGAACCCCAACCCCTGACCCCTCAGGGGAAGGCCCAGCTGTGGTTTGTTCTCCCCAGATGTTCCCACAATCCCCAATAACGCCCAGCTCCCCCCCACCCCTCCCACCCCATAATGACTCCAATCAAATAAATAAGGGCCCGCTGGGAATAACGTCCATGAAGTTCCGAGTTCTCGGAGCGCCGGGGCCCTGCCAGCCCCAAACTGTGGGGCCTTTCTGCTGCGGGCCAGCCAGGGCACAATGAGGGATTGTCCAGCCCCACATCCCAATTGAGAAGGGCAGATTCTCCGGGATATATAAATATATTTATCCTGCTCCCACAGCTGTGCAGTGACCAATTCTTCTCCCGGGAGAGGAGGGGGATTGAGGATTGGGGACAGTAATGGGTCTATTATTTCGGGATGGAGAGAACGAGCCCTTTTTTCTCCTCTCTCTCCACATTAAGACAATTGTTATTCCCTGCTCCCCTTGTTCCTGCTCTCAGCCCCCTGTTTCGGGCACAAGCTGCGTGGGAAGGAAAGGAAATTAAGGGAAAATGGATTTTTCCTGGGAAGCCGAACGCCAGCCCAGCCTAAACCCTGTTAGATGTTGGTCTGTAATGTTTTACTTAAATAAAGATTAAACCCAGCACTAAAGTCAGAATTGGACCAGATGATCCTTTGGGGTCTTTTCCAGCTCAGGATATTAAATCCTAAAATACATGATTCTGTTATTTAGAATCCTGGAATCATTTCCCATACTCTTATGGATTCATAAAATCATCATTTGATTTCTAGAATCCTATTCCATGATTCTATGATTTAGAATCCCAGAATCCTGGAATGGCTTGCCTTAGGAGGGAACTTAAAGCTTATCCATGGAATTATTCAGCTGGGAATAGCCTCAGGCTATGAGAACCTGCTTTATGTTTCCATGTCCCAGCAGGACACTGGGAAAATCCCATTTGGGACTCACCTTCCTTGCAGAAAGAACCCAGCATCCAAAGGGCAGATTTCCACACCATTCTGACTCAAATATCCAACATAATTGAATTTTTGGGATATATTCTTGACTGAGAGCATTCATCTTCCTCTTCTATCCCTGTCATTCCCATCCACTCCCAAAAATTCCCTTGTATGCAACTTTGTTTGCACTAAAATACTTTTTTCTATATGGCAGGATGACTTTAACTTGGGATAACTCAAAGCATCAAGTTCCTTCTTTAATTTCCTTCTCCACTGAAGGACAGATTCCTAGAACTGGTCTTGAGGAACAGGGATCATGGAATCCTGGAATAGTTTGGGTGGGAAGTGACCTTAAAGCCCATCCTGTTCTACCAGCACTTCCACAAGTTCCTGCCTGTGACAGTGTTGGACCATATAGATGGGTCCAAGGATGATCAAAAGATTTGGGAAAGGATCCCGAGCCTGGACTTGGATCCCTCTGGATTGACCATGTTGGACTTGGCCTGGGATTTCCCATCCTTAAGTGTAAAATCCTGTGGAGCAACTAATTCACAGTAAAAATAGGACACTTCCCTCCTTTCCTTAGGGACAATGTCAACATTCCCACATCCCCAACCTCTTGTGAGACAGCTCTGGAGTGCCACACATCCCTTACCACACAGGAAAATCCCTTTGGGAATGGCTCATTAAGGATTCAAATCCTCAAATTTGAGGGTTCTGCCCTCACAAAGTGACTGCCGTTTTCAGAATGCCCTCCTCTGGACATATCCCTAAGGAATCTTTGCTTCTTCCCATCTTTCCTCGTCCTCTGGTGCCTAAATTGAGGTGTGGATTATCCACGTCCTTCTCACCTGAGTCTGCCTCCTGACTGGAAGGCTCCTGACTGCTCAGCTCCCACTCCCAAGGAATGCTGCTCTTTCCCTTCCCAGACCTGATTAAAGGGAAAAGACCCAGTGGAAAAACACACCAAGGGATGGAGCCAACCTCATCCATATGGGATGGTCCAACTCCCTTCCTGCAGTGAGCTGGGAATGCAGCACTTCAGGCACAGACTTGTGTGATCCCCAAAGGATCCTAGAGAGCTCTGAATCCCAAAAAATCCAAGGTATTGCTTTAATCCATAGGGAGGCAGCTCCAGTGGGTCTAAACACAGTCCCTCATTGGTTTTCCTTTCTCCTGCCCTCCACGTTTCCCACATTTGCCCCCCTTACCAATCCCCTCTGGATCATGCTCCCTGCAAACCCTGCTCTCCCTATCCCACGTGGCTCACAGGCAGCATGAGCCAGGAAGGGATGGAGAGATGTTACTCGGGATATTACTCATGGAAGGTGCGGCCGGGGCTCCCTCCGGCGCCGAATTTCAAAGTCCAGTTTCCAACAAAACAATAATTCAGGAATTTCCCCCTCCCTTACCTCATCCCTCCCCACATGCCAACCTCCAGCTGAGACTCCCAGGCATGACTGGAAGGACTTGGAGTCCATTTTTAAAGTTTTTCCACCAGCTCTGAGCACGGACACCTCAGTCTCTGGAAGGGCGCCGGAATCATTGATCTGGCTCACATGAGGCTCAGCTGAGCCAGGATCATGGATCCAGGGATATCCAGTGGATAATAAGATCTATTTCTCCTGGTGGGTCCAAGTCCCAAAGAAGCTGCTGTGTTGCTGTTGGAGGTGCTGGAATACTTGGAATCTCCTACTCACAAACCACCCCAATCCAGGCACAAATTCCCCAAATCCCAGATGGTTTGGGTGGGAAGGGACCTCAAAGCTCAACCCATTCCATCCACTGCCATGGGCAGGGACACCTTCCATTATTCCAGGCTGCTTCAAGCTTTGTCCAACCTGGACTTGACACTTCCAGGGATGAAGCAGCCACAGCTTCTCTGGGAAATCCTTTCCAACTCCCAGGGAAGCTCCCACCCTGCTGGAGGCGGAAGCAGAGCTCCCTCTGTTATCTCCTCCTGGCAGGAGACCTGTGTGGATCAATCCCTTCCTGGTTATCCATTAACTCCAAAGGGTTCATTCCCGAGACAGAGAGAACACCTCCATTGATTTACAAAGGAATAAAGGACCATCCTCAGGGAGGAACACACATGTCCTGGGATACCTCAGCACCCTGGGAGACCTCTGGAGCTGGAAGCACGAGGACTCAACCCAGGCCTGGAGCAGGGAAGTGTCACCCACCCACTCCCAAGAAGGACATCCAGGCTCTATGGAAAGCTCCTGTCCATTCTACCAGGACAAAAAAGGCCACAAGGACTGGATGTGCTTTCCAAGGAAGTTCTGTGGCAGGAAGGATAAGTACAGATTGCTGGAAAATCCAAGGAGACATTGCTGAGGAGGCAGGAAAATGCAAATCCTGCTGGAACAGGCTAGGAATTACAGCTGGACCATCACCCTCAGATCATATATAGCCCAGAATCCATGGAAAAACCCTGAGGAACTATTTGTGCCATGCTGGTTTCCATTGAATTAATTAACAATTAGATCCCAGCTTTAGTTAATTAAATATTCCCGTTTTTCGCCCCCATTTTCTTTGCTTGCTGGGGAACACTTCAAAAATTGTTGGAAAATTTGGGTTTTTTTCTGTAGTTCTGGATATTTTCTCAATGGATTGGAAACAACTTTTCTCAATAAACTGGGATTTTTTCCCCTAAGGCCACCAACCCACCCAGCAGCTGGAGAATCTCCCTGGAAAACACGACTACATCCCTAAGGAAGGCTTTTAATAGGTTTTATAGCAGCATCCCCCACTCCTGCTGTGTCCACATCCATATATTTTCAGCCTTAAAAACTGAATTAAAGCAGCCTTTCCTAAACATGGATTATTCCGTGTTTATCCAAGGATAGCAGCCAGAGTTGGATGTTTTCCTTCCCCAGGAGAGGACGGGTTTCCAGAAGAGCCAATATCCTTTTATGAGGCTGGTATAGCTCCAGATAGGGAAAAAAATCCCACAAAGCCATCCCAAAACATCAGTCACTTCAACATTCCAGCACTTTTTATAGACCTTTTTATAGGAACTCAGTAGTTCAGCCACCTTTGAGCTCTTAATTCCCTGATAGTCCCTTCAGGAGCAGCCATAAAAAACAATTCCATGCAGCCATTAATAAGATTACACACTTCCAGGCATTCCTTTTCTCCCTGGATTTCTCCTGGCTGGTCAGCAAGCTCCAGGACATCTCCTGCCCTTATTCCCCGACCCTGTAAGCCATAAGTGCATCTTTTCCCTTTTCCAGAATATGAATTATGTGGAATTATTCAGCTGGGAACAGCCCTCAGGCAGTGAGAATCCTGCCTTACAACTCCAGAGCCATGTCCTGCAGGACACTGGGAAAATCCCAGTTTGGACTCACCCAGCTCACAGAAGGATCCCAGCACCTTCTTGTTCATCCAAAGGGGAGATTGCCACACTGTTCAGGCTGGAATATCCAATAAATTAAGTATTTGGGATATATCCTTGACTGAGAGCACACATGCTCCTCTTCTATCCCCGTCATTCCCATCCACTCCCAAAAAATTCCCTGTTTGCACTAAAATCCTTCTTTTTGTAGGACAGGTTGAACTTGGAATAACTCAAAGCATCCAGTTCCTTCCTTTATTTCCTTCTCCACAGAAGGAGAGATTCCTAGAACTCATCTCAAGGGACAGGGATTGTGGAATACTGGACTGGTTTGGGTGGGAAGGGACCTTAAAGATCCAGTTTCATCCCTGCCATGAGCAGGGACACCTCCCACTACTTCCAGGACAACTTCCACCCTGCTCCAACCTGGCCATGGGATGGCAAATCCACAAGCTCTGCATGTTCCCCCAAGTGTTTTCCCACTCCAAAGGCTGAGATCCAGAGCAGAGAGAGCTGGAGAAGAAACAACCAACCCCCAGTGATTTCCTGGATCCTTCCCAAAAGCCGCACACCCAATTCCTGGTGCCCTTCCCACCTCTCCCAACTCACTCACCACCCTTTTAAGGCAGAAACCTCAGGCAATTCCCAACCATCCATGTCCAGGACATCCTTGGGAACAGTCACGTACTCCAGCCATGCTTCCAACATCCATTTTATACAGAGTGCCATAGAATATACAGAAAATTTATATACATCCATATTTCTGGAATTAGGTTATAATTCATCCGGATCTTTCTTTACAGCGGGATTAGTTCAGATCTTTCGTACAGAGGTACAAAAAAAGTCACATGGAGAATGAAGGGCACATGAGGAGTGCTTGAGTTTCCTTGGAATCTTCATGCTGGGGCAGCTCGGAGCAGGGATTCAGAGGGCAGCATTCCCAGGATGAGCACGGGGACGCAGGATGCTGGGCTGTTTTCCCCCCCAGTTGCATATCCAAGTGCTCCGAGCCCTGCCAGAAGCAGTGGGAGTGCCTCAGAGCTCCCTGGAAGGGCTGCTTCTCCCAAAAATGCCAAAGGTTTCAGATCTAAGGAGGCAATTAGGATCCAGCAGGAAATGAATCCAGAGGTATCCTGCTCTGAGCTGCCCCAGCACAAGATGGAACACAGGTGACAGGCAGGAAGGGCTTTTCCAGAGAGGCAGAGCCAAAGGAAAGAGGCTCACAGGGCTCAACATTCCAGATAGGGAGGCACAGCCCATTCCCAAATATCCCTGTGCCATTAGGAATTCCACTTAGCGCCAGGATAGGAGGTCGAGAGTATTCCCTGGACTTGTGGAGGGAAAGGTGGGAAGCTGGAGCTGCAGGTGAGGCCACTTTGCCACCACCAAGCGCTGGGGACATCCCAGGAAAGGAGTTAGGACCCAAAGGGTGTGGCAGTGTCCTAGGACAAACTTCCCAAAAGTGGATATCCCAGCAGGACAGGTCCAGGCCACCCCCAGCTGGGATTTCCAACTCTGAGCCATCGGAACTGCACAAAACCCGGGATGGGAAGCAGGGAAGTGGAATCCAAATGAAAACCAACATCAAGGCTTGTTCCTGTGCTGCAAGGATTTTCAGGAATCAAGAGGTGAAGACAGGGACAGGTTCTCCTCATCCCATAGGTGTACACTGGGAAGGTGGGAAAGTCAGGACACGCAGCATGGTGTGACACTGTGACGTCAGAGGGACTGGAGACAACAAGGAAAGCAGAAAAAATTCCCAGGGAGCTTACCTTTGGAAGGGGGCTGCTCCAGAGCCAGGGAGAAACTTGGTGTGGGCTGGAGGAAATTGCCTGCCTCAGGTCAAGATTTGCTTTTGGCACTTGGATACGACCCCAGGCAGCAGGGAAAAGTGAGAAGATGGTGGGCTGGAGGAAATTGTCTGCCTCAGGTCAAGATTTGCTTTTGGCACTTGGACAGGCAGCAGGGAAAAGTGAGAAGATATGGGAAGTCCTGGCTGAGGCAGAACAGGAGACCTCGGGAGCAAGGGCAGCTCCTACCAGGCCTTGGCCACACTTCCATACTCCCAGAGAAATGGGAAAGTAAGGTGGGAAATGTCTGATCCCAGAAATTGGGACCTGAAGCTAGGGAGAACAAAGGCACAAGAGGTATGAACTCAAGAAACATGGAAAAAACAATGGGAATGGAGACAGCAAAGCATTTGGAGGCTCATGATGATTCCCTATGACAAAGCAAGGAATTGCCTTATTCCTTGGCTATTTGGAATTTCCAGCCCTTAAGCAGCTCCTTGGAGCTAGAAGAAGGGGAAGGACATCAGTGACTGCTGATCCAGCCCCCTTCCCATCCCTCTCTCCATCCATAACTCCCCTGGGGATTTGACTGGAGAGCAAAGGACTCCCAGACTGAATCCCAGCTTCCAGCTGCAATATTCCCTCCTCTCCTCCTTCCCACAGCTGCCAAGGATGGGCAGTGCTTGCCTCCAGCAGGATCCATGCAGCATTGCTTCTTCCACACAGGAGCCATGAGAGGGAGCTTTGGCACAAGAAATGAGGCTCTTCCCAAAATCCAGCAGCTCTTCCCAAAATTCAGCACTGCACAGGCTCTGGGAACAAAGCAATGAGCCCAGTTCCACACAGTGCTTTCCAACTGCTTCCTTCAGAGGAATTTCTCAGCAGAGCAATCCATGCAGAGGTTCTGCTGGAATTCCAACCTTCCCTTTCCTGCAGCACCGTAAAACTACAAGCAGGGAATCACAGAATTCCAGAATCATTTGGAAGGTCCCACCTGCTGCCGTGGGCAGGAACATCTTTCCCTAGCCCAGGCTGTTCCAAGCTTTATCCAACCTGGCCTGGAATATTTCCAGGAATGAAGAATCCACACCTCCCTTGGCAATGTTACTCAAAGGTGCAGTTACAACCACTATCCCTAAACCCACTGGAATTAAATATTCCTGCTCCCATCCTGCAAAGCCAGAATGTCCTACTGCCAAGGGAAGAATATCCCAGAATGAATAAGGACAAACCCAGCATGGAGGGGAGCTCCAGCCCAGCAGTTCCCAAGGCAAACACAGAAGGGCTCTGCTGCCCAATGGAGGCTCGTGGATACAGCCTCAAAACACAAATCCAAACACACCCATTCCAGCAATAATTAATCCCACCTAATTCCCATTGCCAGGAGTAATCCTGATTATTCCTATGTCCCAATTTGTAAATGAAAGCTGTGTGGGCGAGTCCATGGAAATAATATTATCTGCCTGCAGGAAAAGAGCAGCAAAAGCTGGGAAAACATCAAAGTGCATGGAGAATGTGTTAGATATTCATCCTGTATCCCCACGCTTGGAGCTTTTCCTCCTTCTTACGTGCCCTTGGAAACAGAATTCCGACTTTAATCCTGCATGGGACCATCAACTATTCCTGGAATCCACCATCCTAAAAGAATAGAACTGGGAATCACTGGAATTCTATAACCATACTCCCCACCCTCTGCCATCCCAGCCCTCTGCAGAGACCAAAATACCTCCCACAAATCCTGTTTGCTTTGGAAAAAGGTTCCTAAAATGTTCCAAGAATCTCATTTAACTGCTTTGGAATAGTTTTTCCCATGTTTCCAATGTGCTACCAAGGATGTGGAACAAGCTACTAGCGCCCTGAGAGAAGGGAGGCTCCTGAAATAGGTGAGAAGAACAGGCAGCAAAGAAGAGGGAAGTTTTAGGAGGAAATGAATATTCCAAATGGAGAAGGCAGCCCCGATGGAGAAGAAGTAATGATAGATATTGGAAAAGAGCTGGTATATCCTCAGCACTGCAGGATCCTTCCCACATTTTTGGCACTGCTGCAATGAAAGCAACAATAAAATCAATTTACTGGTGCAGAAGAGCCTCAGCTCCATTCCTCTGCCAAGAAACTCTTGGAATACCAACACTCAGCAGTGTTGGAAAGGACCTTTAAAGGTCACTCAGTCCAAGGAAGAAGGACCAGAATGGATTTAAGGATGAGGCATGGAATGGGGGACTTGGTCAGTCTGGGATCTGGGGTGTCAGGCACTTCCAGCACTGTCTCTGCAGAGGGTGGAACATCCTGTTGGAGTATCACGGGAATATTCGAAGATCAGAAGGCACAAAGCTGAAGAGGAAGAAGCAAAAGCCAGAAGATTTGGAAAACTGGAGATGCTTCGTATTCCCAAAGAGAGAGCAGGAAGAGAAAGCAGGAAGTGTGTACAGTACAGATGAAGGAGGTAGCTGCAGCTTTAACATGTATTTCAGCATTCCAGGTGTGCTTTCCCAGGAGGATATGGGAGATCAGCCTTTCCAAATGCCCAGATAGCAAAGGAGTGACGGGAATGGAGACACAGAATCAAGATGGGATCAAGACACAGTAATGGGGATCAAGACACAGTAATGGGGATCAAGACACAGTAATGGGGATCAAGACACAGTAATGGGGATCAAGACACGGAGACATTTAAAGCAGAATTAATTTCAAGAACGTGGATTTCATTTGGGAGGACTGGGATCAGGTCTGTTTGTCAACAAAATCCAGCAATTTTCCATGACAGGATACAATGGGAGCCTTCAAGGGGCTCTTTTGTGCCTTTACTCCTTGACCTGTGGCAAGCCCACCTCCCAGGAATTACGTATTTCCAGGTTTTCCAAAGTCCAGTAATCACAGAGCAAAAAAACTGCAGCATTCCAGACTGCTTCCCCTCAGGGCAAGGGAAGGCCATTCCTATGGGATACAGTTCCAATGGCACAAAGAAGGAAACAGTCACCCCACGACTGAGTCTTCCGGGACACGTTCAGGGAAGGAAGGGACTTTCTAGTGCAACATTTGAGTCATGGAACATCAGCAGGTTCCCACTGGAATCATTTTAGGAGGGAGATATCCCACTTTTCCTCACCTGGAGGCAACCTCCCACCAGTAGTTCCATCTAATCCCAGGTATCCATGTCGCTCCCAGGGATAGAGATGATCCTTTTCCTTAGTGTTTTAAAGTGCTTTGCAGATCCCAAGCTCTGCCTTAGTGCTAAGGGTTAATTCCTGCTGGGATTAAGGGCAGGAATGAGCTCCTTATCCCAACCCCTGGGCCAGAAGGGGAGCTAGCCTGCTAGCCCCGGCCTCCCTGCCCCTCAGCTCCCCTTTTCCCCTCAAACCTTCCAAGATTTTTGTGCGTATTCCTGAAAAATCACCTCGGTAGTGTTTCCTGAGTGCAGGAATTCCTCCTTACCCTGTGCTCCCAAACCACTTGCTCTCTGCTCCTTTTTTAAGGACCTACAATAACAAAAAGAACTTCTGGTTGCTCAGAATAAAAGGATTTTTCCTTCTCCGAATCCCTCTGAATCCAGAGGGGCTTCCTCCCTCTGATTCCACTCAGGGAAAGGTCACCTTTGGAACCTTAAACCACAGGGATAACGTTTTCCTGGCCGCTTGAAGCACTTCTGAAAGCTCTGAAACAGGTAAGGAGCAGGGGCTGGAGCATCCCACGCTGGATGGAGTGGGATATCAGCACCTGGACTCAGAATCCAGTGGAATTCCGTGCACCCAGGATTATTTACATCAATGCACACCGGTTATAAAGTGCTCCTCAATGGCACTGGATCCCACTGGCTCCCGGGAAGCACAGCCCTGGCCCATCCCGGCGCTTCCACAGCCCACACGGAGAACAAGAAGCCCTGGGATTTGCCAGGAGCTGAGCTCCTGGAAAACACAGCATCCTGCCACAATAGCACTGCTAAGGAGGGGAAAAGGGAGCAACCACAGGATTCTAAGGAAGTTAAACCAGGAATTTCTTTTCCAGGGAGGGAGGATGGAGCTCCGGGGAGAGCCATCAGTAACTGCTGAGCTTTGAGGGGGAGTTGTGGCAATTCAAGGCCTTTTCCAGGTCCCAAGAATGTTTCATTTCCTACAATAGGTAGTTTTCCTCCTGCTCCCATCATTGGAAAACCTGCCTGGAGAGGCAGAGCAGGCTCCTCTGGGCCCGGAGGCTCAGGTAGTTTTCCTAACTTGCTCAAGCTTTCCTACATGGAATTGTGCAGGTGGGGAGGGGGCAGGCAGTTACCCTCAAATCCAAGCCACTTGGGAAGAAGGGGGCTTGGAATTCTGCCTGCCCATCCTCTCTTCCCTCAGTCCCCAGAGGGAACAGCACAGGAAGGAGAGGATGACCATGGATTTTCCTTTGGGAAAGTCTCCCTATTTCCTTAATAAATACCTTCCAACCAGCTCAGCAGCTCTGTAAACATACAAGAGATTGCAATACTGGGGAAAAGTCCATCTTTTCCCTGAATTCCCAATGACAGAGGCTGGCACTGATCCACGGATGCTGCATATGGGTGGTGTGAGGACCCCCAGGGATCCAGGAGAGACTCCCAGACTCCACAGGGGCCTGGAAAATAATGCCAGGTACATTTTGCAGTTGATCCATCCACATCCATGCAGCTCTGAGATGAGAATCCTGGCAGTCCCACAGGAATGTCGCCAGCTTGGAGGGGTCCAGGGAACTGAGGAGTGATGGGGGTGATATCCAGGAGAACTTTCTGCCAAAGGCAGAGTGATTGGGCTCTTGGGAACAGCGTCCTTCCCTCTCAGGAGTGCTCGGGGGAGAGAAACCATGGTGCCAGCCCCATTCCTGCTGTGCCTGGCCGGGAAGGGGAGACTGGATTTGGGGGGAATACAGCCCCAATGGCTTTAAAACGGGAGTGTCCTACAAAAGCAATCCCCATGGAAGTGTGCCGAATTGGATCTTGGGCCGGATCCGTGGTAGTGCAACAGGGCCCAAAGTCTCAATCCGCTCATTTCCCAAAACCACCGGCTCGGTCCCGAGGAGAGGGATCTGGCCTGGCTCCCTCCTGCTTCCATCTATCCAGGTATCTCACTCCCAAACTCAGCAGGTGCCCCAGGGCAAGGAATCTGCCTCTGGAATGAGACAGGCTGAGGTAGGGAACTTTAGTGCCTCAGACCCTCTCAAGCCCCATGGGGCAAAGCTTCGCCCAGCTCCAAGCACAGGATTCCAGCACAATCCATCCTCCAGACACCACCACTGAGTCACCCCAGAAAGGATTTTTCCAGCTGTCTCCTCTGATCCCAACTGCCCGATGACAGCCTCCTCCATGGATTATCCCACTGGGATCATTCCACCCCTTTCCCCTGCACTAAAGGGCCGAAATCATGAGGTCGTCCTGCTTGGCAGGGCTGGTTACGTGTCCGGAGGGGGTGGAAGTCCGGATTTTGTCTGTGGCCAGGCACTCCTGGCTGCTCACACCCGTGGGAGTGATATCCATGAGTTCTCCGGATGAGCTAAGGGGGAAGGAGGGTGACACGGAGATTCCCGACGAGGGATCCGTCGAGCCAGCAAACAACCTCGGGGGCTTTGGGACTAAGTTAGGCTCGTACTGCGCCCTCAGCAGGATCTCCTGGTCGCTGACGGATTTGGGAATCTCCGCAAAGTCGCTGGAACTGTCCGACACCATCATGCAGTAAATGTCCTGGAAGGAGCTGCTTTTACTGTCCAAGTTGAAGAGGCTGTCGATGAACTCTGCAAATTCCAGCACCTGGGGACTGGGAACGTCGGCCAGGCGGCCGTTGTGGAGCGGCGGCTCTTCCCGAGGGGACGAGGACGTGCGCTCCCCGTCGCTCCCGGTGCCCTCGGCGCTGCAGCGGCGCTGGGGGGTGGTGCCGCCGCTGTTGAGGACGTTTTCCGGGGCCTGCGTCTCCTGGGAATGCTTGGAGAGGCTGTCAGCAGCCAGCAGCTCTGTCCGGGAGCTGAGGGAAGGGTTTTCCTCAGGGATAACGGGGTCTATATAAAAGCAGTGCGTCTCGTCCTTCTCCATGACCGCATGGAGGCTGGGGGAGCCCCGGATGCTCCGGAAACCGGAGGAGCGCCGGGAATCGAAGCTGTAGATGGATTCGTTGTCCGAGAGGCTCTCCATGGTGGCCAGAGGGGCGCGGCGGTCCTGGAGCTCCACGGAGAGACGTTCCTTAGTGTCCAGGAGAAGCAGCTCCACGGGGTCCTTCTGCACAGGAGAAAGTGGCTTTGTCTCATAGAATCCCTCCAGGCTGATTTCCGAATGGGATTTGCTCCTGCAACGGGAAACAGAGAACACAAGGCTGCAGAATTCCAGAACAGCTAGAGGATCCGAGGGTTCCTCACACAGCTCCTCCAACCAGAGGCTTCCACAATTCCGGGGAATCTCTTCTCGCTCTGTCCTCCCAGAGGGAAATATCACAAATGGATTGTCCCTCTGCAAACTCCAGTTCTTGCCCTACTCTCTTTTTTCCTGGCTCACTAAATCCTTCTCTCCTGTCCAGAGAGGCTGTGGACTATCCCTGATGGTGTTCCAGGTTGGACAAGGCTTGGAGCAACCTGGGCTGGTAGAAGGTGTCCCTATCCACGTCAGGGGCTGGAACTGGGTGATCCTTAAATCCCTTCCAAACCAAACCGAACTTGGCTCCAAGTTTTTTTTTACCTTGGGAAAACCCCACCTGTCTGGATAAGGAGAAAAAAAGGAAGTCTCTTCCATACCTTTTCCTGACGTTGCTGCAGTCAAATTCCTAAGCAACACAAGGGATTTTTCCCCCTGACATTCCTCAAGACATCCTGAAGCTTTAATTTCCACAAAGGCCCAGGATCTGTCTTTCCCACAAACATGGATCACAATGCTCCAAGAGGAAGAGAACCCACACCTGGAGCCAATATTCCATATAAAATCTCAGGATCCTTACTTGGTACTGCTGTTCCTTCTGTCCACTGGGATGGCTCCAGTCCCGATCTGCACAGAGGGGCAGCTGGGCAAGGGCTGGCTCTGGAATATCAGCTCCGGGGTGAGATCCACTTCCGTAGGACTCACCATCACTTTGGCTGCGGAAAGCAGAGCTGTTTTCCCCTTGTTGTAGTTCTCCAAGACCTGTCCAAGGAAAGCAGAGGAACAGCAGGGATTGACTGGAGGCTTTCAAACAGCTGGATTGGCCTCTTCCTTCCCAGAACCTTTTGGAAGCACAGGGAGATAAAGGATTAGATGGATAAATCCTGACACATCCCTGGATGTCACCAGGTTTCCAATTTAATAACAGCTCCTGGAATGAACCATCACCACCCAACCTCCTGTTATTCTGATGTCAAATTTGGAAACAGGAGCTTCTGGGACTGTGGGAATTTCATTCCACCTCATCACACTCCACTCCAAGACCCTGTGCAAGACTGACCAGGAGCATCACCTTTCCTCCTCTTCTCCAAAATAAACGGCCTGCTGTATTTAACCAGCAGCATTCCCAGGCTAAGCCTGCCCGTCCCAGTGGTTTTTGGGATGACAATTCCCTGCCTCACCTTGTTGAGCCCTTCCATGACCACGTAGGGGAGGTGTTCGTGCAGCATGGCCGGGGAGATGATCACCTCGTTGAAGGCCTTGTTGTCCCCCCAGATGGCAAAGTAGGTGGGATCCTCCTGCTCACAGCAGCTGGAAAAGGGGTCCGGACAACAGGGAAAATGGGATGGAAGAGAAAGGCAGTGTTTTGGCATATGAAAACAGCAGGATGAAGAGGGAGAAAAAGAGGAAAAACAGAGGGAGGAGCTGTTAAAATACATATTGCTCCAAAATCCTACTTTATGGGGACATGATTATCCATGAGCTAATCATCATCTAAAGAGGAAAAGGACTTTGGAGAAGGGCCTGGAATAATGGGAAAAGGGGGAGTAGCTTTAAGCTGAAAGAGGGTGGGTTTAGATGGGATATTGGGAAAAAATCCTTCCCTGTGAGGGTGCAGAGGCCCTGGCACAGGCTGCCCAGAGAAGGCAGCCTGTGGCTGTCCTATCCCTGGAAGTGTTCCAGGCCAGGTTGGATGGGCTTGAAGCAACCTAGGATGGTGGAAGGTGTCCCTGCCCACGGCAGGGGCCAGAAGTGGATGATCCTTAAGTCCCTTTCAACTCAAGCCATTACAGCATTCCACGTGCTGGTTTAGGTTAGATATTGGAAGAAACTCTTCCCTGTGAGGGTGGTGAGACTGGGAAATTGGGATGGATTTCCAAGGGAAGCTGTGGCTGCCCCATCCCTGGAAGTGCTCAAATCCAGGCTGGACTGGGCTTGGAGCAACCTGGTCTGGTGGAAGTTATCCCTGCCCATGATCTCCACAGTCCCTTCCAACCCAACCCATTCCATAACTCCAGCAGCACAGACACAACCACTGTCCTCATGAGACAGGGGGGAAGAAAACCCCCTTCTCCTTGTGTCAGGGAGACTTTTCCAGCAAGAATTCCAGCAGGAACTGCAGGACTCACCAGCACTGCTCAGCAGGGTGGTTGTGCACCACGTGGATGATGCGGCCCGGGGGGTACAGGGGGGTGCTGGCACTCAGGGCAATGGTCAGGTCACTGGGATGTGTCCAGAGCCGGTTGCTTGTCACCGAGTTCTCCTCTGGCTCCTCGGGAAGCTCGGATTTGGGAATGCACTTGGTAGCCCCCACAATGATCCGCCACTGTTCCCACAAAGAGAGAGAGGGAGAGAGAGGAGGGAGGATTTGAGGAGAGAAAAGCAAAAACAAGCAGAATTGCCTCGTAAGACTTGAGAGGTTTAAAGAATTCCAAAGGCAGGATATTCCCAGTTTTCCTTCACACAGGAGGGATTTGTCTAAAAATTGTTGGTGGATCACCAACAGAGGTGTCCAGGAAAAACACAGTGACACTGGGAATAAATAAAGAACAACACAAGGACAGGAAAACAGGGAAGCTGGATACAGAGAAGATCCAAATGTTTCTGAAAGTTGCTTTTCCTTTCTCAATTATATACCCTCTCCAGATAAATTCCATCATGTATTATCCCTAAAAATCTTCCTATTTTATGTTTTTTTCCCATCTTGGTGCAATGGTAAAGACTAGGGAGGGACAACTTCCCACATTTCCCATCTCCAAGACATGAGCAGACCATTTATCCTGGAACAGCATCATCCCAATGTTCTGACAAGCACAGTGGCTGTTGTACTTCCAGCTTGTTCCCAGTTTTAACTGGTCAGGAAAATCCACACTTGGAATACAGACTTTAAAAAGAGGCTCAGACAGAAAATTCCCTTATCAGTTATTTGGGATCTGTGATGGTGAAGTCTCAGCAAGTGAGCCAGAATGATCCCACTGGGCTCTCCAGCTTCTTCCATCATTCCTCTGGGTCCTTAAATAATGATCCTGAGGAGGCCTGGAGGAAACCCACCCTTCCTGCCACTAAAATTCCCCATCCCTGCTCAGAGACATCTCCAGGTGTTGGTTCCTCCCTCTTACCTTTGGTTTGGTGCTTCTTTGGAGAACATCCAGAAGCTGCCGGCGAAATCCCTCCAGCTGAGAGAGCCCAATCCTGGAAGAGAGGAAGATGTGACCATGGAAAAGAGGAAGATGTGACTCTGGAAAAAAAAGGTGTGGTTATGGAAATGAGGAAGGTGTGATTCTGGAAGAGATTAAGATGTGATTCTGGAAAAGAAGAAGTGAGTCTGGAAAAGAAGAAAATTATGGCTATGGAAGAGGGGGAAATGTGTTCACAACACCTGGGCAGGGAACAGGACAAGAAGGATATGGAGCACAGTAAGCAAGACATTGTGTTCAAAAGGACACTATAAGGATACAGCATGGAGCAGATGGATTCAGAGGTGTGGCATCACCCAGGAGCAGGAGCCAGGAGTGAGAGGCCCCAGGGAATTACCAGGACAATAACAAGGATAAGATCAGTGAACAGGGAAGGAGGGAGGTGACGATGCACAGGACAGGCAAGCTGGAAAAGTGTCCTGGAGCTGAATGACACCACTGAACAGATGACAGGGTGGACAGGATCATGGCATCCAGGTAAATCCCAGGTTGCCTGGCTCCTGTTCCAAATCCCTGCTCAGCAAAACATATCCCAGGAGGTGAGGAAGGTGAGGAATGCCAAGGCACAAATAATGATCTGGTTTGGAGATGAGGTGACGTGGAACAGGGATTTTGGGACAAACTGGTCCAAATGAGGTGGCAGCACATCCAGGACAGGGCCAAGATAACAAAGGAAACCAGGAAGGTGGCACACCTGATATTCCAGGTACCACAAGGAAGGATTCCAGAGGTAGGACATTCCCTCTTTTCTCTTTCACACAGGAGGGATTTGCCCATAAAAACCCCTAAAAGGTGTCCAGGAAAAACACAGTGACACAGGCAACAATAGGACAGAAAAATGAGGAAGCTGGAGACAGAGATGATCCAAGTGTTTCAGACAGGAAACAGATGATTTGGGACAGAACAGCAGAGATTCATCAAGGAATTCAGACACTTCTCCACTTGCCTGGGTACCAGATCTTTGCCAAGCACCACCGCAGTCACAAACTCCTTGGAATACTCCATGGCATCCTCACTGGAAGAGAAACAGGAGCAAGAAGAAGCAAACAGTGTTTCATTCTCTATTCAGTGGCAGGGAAACCAGGGGCACAAACCCCAATCCAAGCTGCTCCAGGCTTTGGGGGTTTGTGCTTTGTGGAAAAAGAGCCTTATCTCCACATGCTATAGCCCAATCATTTCCCTGCACAAGATTCTGGATATAGCTGGGAAAGGAAATGCTTGAACTGAATGTGTCATAGTCATTTTCCAATAGTTTGGGAATGGCGGGACAGCCAAGGAAGAAGATATTTTGTGCTCCTGAGGCTACAATGTAGGATGAAATACCCCAATATTTGGGGGAATTCAAATGGCAAATTTCTGCAGCAACCTGACTTCTGAGACAAGAAGAAAGAAATCAAGATTCCCACTCTGAGTTTCCTGGAGATATTATCAACCAGTTACCATGGGCAGAGGCTGCCTCACTGACCGGGATGATCCTGGGCATGACACGAGTCAGGAGCTACCAAGAGATCCAGGAGTGGAAGTCTGGAGCAGAAGGTTGCACAACTCTCCTGAAATATCTATCCTCCTCTGTAGCTCTGTGGCTGCAGAAGACCTGGGAATACTACAAGGAATGCCAGCATCCAGATTCAGCAGCAGGATGGTTTAAAACCCTTGGCTGCTCCTGGAATATGATGCAGGAACTACCACGAGGAGCTTCTCATGATCCACAGCTGATTCTAAGGATCCCCATGGTGTCTGTCAGGACCAGGAAGACCTTCCCTCACTTCCCAGCAATCCAATGCAATGTTTTGTTTGGGAATGACATGACCAGAAGGTCTGCTCCCATTTACAATGGGAAGGACTCATGATTAATCTCTCCCTGGTTTTGCCCCACAGCCAAGAGAGGGAAACCAGAACAATCCCTGTGAGCCATTTTAGGCTGCAGAATGACAGAAATGACATCCCAATTCCCATTTCTTTGGAAAAGGAGCCCAAACAACTGGATCAGCTGCTGCAGACATCTGCATTTGGTCAAGTATCTCCCTTACTTCCATCTGTTTAGTGGGAGGGGGCAGAGAGTAAGGAAGTTGCACCCATTTCCCATTAAATTTAGAGCCATGAATAATTCAGTTATAAACCAGAATATTTGGGAAAGTGGCCATTTGCCATCCTAGCTTGAATACCAAACTATATCCCAGAGGAAACACTCAGCTTCTCCAGGCTGCCTGTCCATTTCAGTGCTCCCTACAGCCTCACAAGCAGGATCCAGTGTATCCCAGGTGTATCCCACCACCTACCTGAGCAGCCCACCTGGAGGGGAATAAGCAAAGCACTTCAGGGATGGATACTGGGGACGCAGCAGGAAGGACAGGATGGCAGCTGTGCCAGCGCCAAGGGAATGCCCAACCACAATCAGGCCGTAGTGTTTTGTTCCTCTTCCCTAAAAAACATGGAAACAACATGGAATCGAGGTCAGATTGGAAATGAAATTGAATTTATCTCCCATTTCTCTCCCTTTCACCAGTTTTGGAGTCTATTTCTAGACATGAGCACTCCAGATTCCAGCTGAATAGCTCCTTGCTTGTTCTGAATCATGGAATCATCACAGAATCCTGGAATGGTTTAAGGTGGAAAGGAAGGGAGAGATCATTCCATTCCACCCCCTACCATGGGCAGGGACACCTTCCACTAGCTCAGGCTGCTCCAAGCCCCATCCAACCCATGCTGGAACACTTCCAGGGATGGGGCAGACACAGCTTTTCTGGGAAACCCATGCCAGGGCCTCACTGGAGGATGGAATTCATTCACTTCTTGAATTCTACATTTGGTCTACTGGGACATTCCTGAAAGAAAGAAGGTGGGAAGAAAAAGGAAAGGCACACCAGCTATTTGAATTATTTAGGATTTGATGGGAGCTTTTTGTCCCTCCTGATAACATCTAAGCCCACACAGAAAGTGTCTCTAAACCTCAGTGGACAATTTCTCTGGAATATCTGTCCTTGGCTACTGTCAGAAACAAGGTCTGGGCTGGTGGGACCTGAGATGGCACTTAAGGACCTAAAGCCAGGAAATATTCCTCCTGAGTAACATGAACAACACCCATTTTCCCTTTCTACCATCCCAAAAAGCTGGATGCTGGTTTATCTCTCCCTCCATCCACCAAATATCCCAAGGCAGCACACTTCAGCAACTATTTTCAACATATAAACCAAGGTAAGCTGCTTCCCAACATCTCCCTTGAGTCCTGTGACATCTCCCTGCCACCAAGAATGTGCCCACAGGGACAGTCAGCACCGCATTCCAAAGAAAATCTCCATAAAAATGGGATTTTAGTTCCTGCTGATTTGGTTTTAATGCTCCCCGTCCTTCATTGCCACCATGTGGGACTTCCTGCCTCAGGAAAAAGGAAAATAATCAGGATCTCTGCAGTGTTGGTGCTTCCAAAATAAAAAAGCCTTGCAGGAAGTCTGGATGGGGCTTGGAGCAACCTGATCTTGTGGAATGTTCTCTGTCCATGGCAGGGGTTGGAATGTGAAGAGCTTTAAGGTCCCTTCCAACCCAAACCATGCCATGAAATGAGTAACTAGCTGGAAATCCAGGAATTAAAGGAGGAGCTGAGAAATTAATACAACAGACTCAGGGACACAGAGATTCCCTTAAAACCCTGTTTTTAACGGAAATCTCATCCTCGGTCCAGAGACAACTTGTACTCACCAAATCCCGTCCAAAAGCTTGGGACAGCACCATCTCCTGCTCCAGCTTCTTCTTGATGTACTCAGCAGACAGCACCATTCCCTGTGGGAAGCAGGAACACACAGCAGGTTGTAAATGGGATCTCAATATCCAGCAGCCAGAAGGTGAGGAAGCTCTGGAATGTCCCTCAGCATGGATCAGGGTGGAGGGAGAACTGATTCCCCTCTGCATTTCCAAAGTTTTGGTGTTTAAGGAGTAAAGACAGTTCTTAATTAAGGAACACTCCACGGGCCTATTCCTGGGCTTTTAGAGGGAAAACTACCCCAAATCCAATTAACTTAAACACAGGATTGTGGATTTGGTACTTCAGGCCAAGGGACCTGGGGCAAAACAGAGAAATAGACCTGGATATTCTAAATATTGGTGGTTTTAAAGCCAAATTATCCTATTCCAGGTAAATCTGGGATGGAATTTTCCATTTAAGTCTGGGAATAAAAGTGTGAATCATTCTAATAGAGATAATGATTCAAACACCAAAGGAAAAGTGGCAGCACTAGGAATTAGTTCCTGCCTTCTCAAGCCACCAATATTAAGGGAATTTGGCTGTCAGAGGATATTAATCCCAAATTATTAAAAGTTTTTATTCCCTAGAAGGCAAGGAGTGCTGATGGGAAAAGATGGGAAAGATCATATCTGGGTTTAAACATTCCTCCTCTCTGCTGAGGAGTGTTTATCTATCTATCTGTGTGGTGTTTCCAAATGTAGTTGATACAATTCCAAGCACAGTTATAAACAAGCAACTGGAATTTGGTTTGTTGCATAAATTCCTGATGATGCTACAGTTTAACTCAGTGGGAAGTGAGCCTGAACTCCAAAAAATGGGGGAAATGGGGAAAATCATCTCCTTGGCTGTTCTCCTTTAAATCCCTGTCTTAAAATGGTGTGAGTACAATGGGAATGTTATTGGGGGCTCACTCTCCATCTCAGAGATATAAAAGGATTCCTGGCTCCAAAAACAAAAGAAAAAATATAAATAATAATATATAAAACCTCAGTTATCCTGGAGAGCTGGACTGGGGGTTGGAGTTAAAGACAGCAGGATAATCAGAGGGGAAAATCAGGGAAATATCAGGGAGAAATCAGAGGTAAATCAGAGGAAGAGCTGAGGGGGAAGATGGGGGGAAAATGAGGGGGTAGAAATTTGGTGGGAAAATTGGGCAGGAAAATCTAAATCAGGGATAAATCAGGAATAAGTCAGGGATAACAGTGCTGACTCTCTTGCATCAATTATCACTTCATCAAGCCTCCAGAGATCAAGTTTTATTCCATTCTTATGGAATAAAGAAATAAATAAAGAACAAAGAAATAGTACCATTTCTTGGGTTGTTTCAAAGAGGGGCAGAAAGGCGTAAGAGAAGCCAGTGAGGAAAATAAAGCAAAGAAACATGGAATTTTCCAGGTCCTCAGTATCCGAAATGTCTTTGATCCCAATCTGGATACCAAAGAGGGGAAGCAGGACAGAGGAGACCCCCTCCATGGAAATGAGCTAAATGGGATGCTGCCACCACCAAAAAGCACCACAGTGGTTGTGCCTCATCCCAGCTCCCCAGCTTCCAGAAGAGTCTCCACACCCAATCCTAATGAGAAGTGAGCAGCAGGCCACTGATCTAAATTCCCACTGCGAATTTGGGATTCTATTTTTAGAGATCGTGACCCAAATCCACAGTGATGTCACTGCTGGGATGTTAGTCAGCCTTTGGGACGTGTTTTTGGTAATTATATCCTAATGGAGACAGGGATTTTAATTATTATGAAATGAGACTGTTAACTTCCATTTAGATTCACCATTGGAAAAATTCCCTAAACTTCATGGAATCCTGGTTTGGGTTGAAAGGGAGCTTAAGGATCATCCCATTCCATGGACAGGGACACATTCCATTAACCCAGGTTGCTCTGAGCCCTATCTAATCTGGTCTTGGACACTTCCAGGGATCTAGCATCTGTAAATTCTCTGGGAAACAGATCCAATTTCAAGTTAATATAACTATTTGGGCTTAATTTTGTAAGTTCACATGTAAATAACTGAATGGATCAAGGATTTAGAGAAAGGGAATGGAAATATTCTGCATTGTTTTGTATCCCAAAGGCACAAAACTGCTCTGGAATATTTGAGATTTTGAGGGAAAACCCTCAGAAGGGTCTATTTATGAGAGAAAAATGTTGGAAATTCTCATTACTGGGATCATGGCTGAGCTTCCAGGACTTTCCAGCAGCTCCTTGTCCTTCTGGTTGGCTCGACACCAGGAAACAAAGCTCTGTAACATCCTATTTTCATTAGTTTTGTCCTGGGAGTTCAACAATTAAATCTGGATTCACCCCTTTGGCTGAGGATTATTTTTAAAATCAACTTTGTTATAAAATCAGTGGACTTTATTGCAAAAATAGTGAAGTTGGATTCTTCTCTGAGTTATAATTCCTTTTTGTTATTGGCATTCTAATCCCTAAACTTTAGTTCCAGCTCTATTTTTTGATCCAGAATAGCTCAGAGCCCCAACAAATATTTTTTTTAATTGTGACATTGGAGCTGTGGAGTGATAAAAAATTTCATGTAAACACCAAGACTTGGAATTTTAGGATGGCTGACAGACACCCCTGGGGATGGGTGGGACAGAATCAGCAGGAGAACACCCCAAATCAAACAAATCCTGGGAAAGCTCCCACATAGCCAAGTCCTTGTTTCCAAATTAAATGTGTAAGTGAGACACTGGATTTGTTTGGATATTAAACTTGACTCCTGGACATTAAAAATGCATTTAAAATTCCATTATCTTCCTTAGTTTTCCCTCGGGAATCAACAGCACATTATTGTCTGCAGATTAATATTGATAATAATTCCAGAGAAAGTGAATATTTCTCTCCTGGCAGCAATCCCAAAAAAGAAATAACACAAAGGACAAATAAAAGCTCTGTCTGGAACAAAGGGAATAAACTGATAATGTTTCATGGAAGTCACCAGTGGAGGAATATTTTCATATAAAGATCAAAAGCAAAGCCAATTTCTGCAAGGATCTATTCCTGGAATTTCATTGAATCATGGAATTCTGGAGTGGTTTGGATTGGAAGGGACCTAAAAACCCATCCCAGCCCCAAGAGCAGGGACACCTTCCACTAATCCAGGTTGCTCCAAGAACCATTCTCCAAGGTGTCCCAGCCCGTGGCAGGGATTGGAATTGGATTTTTCAAGTCAGTTCCAACCCAAATCATCCCAGGATTCCGTAGTTCTATTTCCTGAAGCAGAGGGAAGAGGTTTGGTATTCCAGCAGGACACCATGAGGCAAGCTGGAGTTCAACTCATGGCTTCCAAGGACTTCCAAGCTCCACATCCCACCTTGAGCAACACCTCATTCCCCCCAGCAGCACTTCCAGCAACTGCTCCGTTCCTTCCAACCTTCACTCTGGATTTTCCTTTCCCAACTTGGCACTGCAGCTTTGGAAGCTGCCAAATTCCTGATCATCTTAAAAACTCAGCACGTCGTTCCTGTGCCAGACAGGGGCAGAGGTCAGCTCTGGAATAAATGGATTTAGCCAGCCAAGAGCTGCTCACAGACACAGAGCACCCATCTAATTTCAGGGATCCAAGTCCTGCCAGTATCCTTTGAGGACATTCCCTTCACAGCAGAATTTTAAGCACATTCTCAGGCTTTGATTGAAAATTCCTTAAAGGTCGTTGGAAGAAAAAGTAATTTGAGTGGCTCCAGGAATTTCATTGTGGGTCTCCACGATGCCTTCCTGAATTTGGAGTTCTCTAATTGTACAGAGTTTTTAATTACACGCCCAGCGATTTTAACTGCTCCCACTAATTATTTAACACCTCAAAGCCCTTTCTGTAACTTCTTTTTCAAGTAATTAAGACCATTTGGGGGTTTATAATTAAAAAGTGAAATAATTAAAAAAAAATCCATGGGGTTTTGGGTTGGTTTGGGATCGTTATCCCTTTATTTTCCCCACCTTGTGTCCCAGCCACGTTCCATGGTGTCCCTCAACCGGCAGGCGCTCTGCGTCCCCCGTCAGATCCGTCAGGGCATCCTGGAAGAAAAGCTTGCTTCAGGTGAGTCAAATCCGAGTCAGGATTCCAAACTGGGAAGGGTTCCAACTCTCTGGAATATCCACCAGGGAGGCCACTGCATATCCCACTTACTTTTGGGGACAGAGTTCCCCGGATGCTGATGACCACCTTCTTCTTGTCATGGTCCACAGCCACATAGAAAGGGGTTTCATAAACCTGCAAGAGATCAGGAGAGACATTCCTGTTGGATTATCCTTTGAGAAAAGGAGACAGAGTGCGTGACAGGATTTGTGTCCAAATAACATAATTTTTTGATGGAAATGGAAGAGAAAAAGGCTTCATTTCCCTTCTTTGTCCCACTGCAGGCAGAAGCGGATAAATCCCCTTGGGAAGGGGGTCTGGGATTGTCCTTACAGCATCGTGGCAGGAAGTGTAGACGATGTCCACGGAGGTCATGTTCTCGTCCAGGAAGTGGCGCCGGATGGCGATGGCGTTGCAGCCACAGCAATTGTCCTCCTCGATGGTGACGCCGGGCGCGTAGCGCGGGCGCGACGGGCACAGGCAGCAACATCTGCTGGAGGAAGCACGGCTTTGAGGGAAAAAGGCTGGATTTAAAGTGCCATTCCTAGAGGAAAGGGAAAGGTGGACCCTCCAAACCTCGTCCCAGTGGCAGCAAGTGCCAAGTGAAGGATAAAACCATGGAACAGCCTCAAAATCTGGGACCAGGTGCAGTTTTCCTTTTGAGCACCAGAGAGAGCTACAATGCAGCCAGTCCCCAAGGAATCTCAGGATTGTGGGGTGGGATGGCTCCTCAAAGGATACTGTCCTTGGAAGCACAGTTTTCCAGTTCTTCAGTGTGGAAAAGCCAACACTGACTGAGCTCCAGGTTTATTTATAGGTAAAAAATGGGTTTAGAATCATCCCAAAATAAAAAGAGAAGCTCAGGTTGATTTTCCTGCTTTATCTCTCACAAATGAAAGTATTCCCAAGGAATCACATTCCTCCCAATAGCCCAGGAAGTGCCAAAAACTCATCCCCAAATTGAATCCAGTGACAGAATTCTGGCAGCTGGAAACAAACCCTTCCACCGGGGCAAAAATTCTGAGCTGGAAAAATCCAATTAATCTGAGGGAGCACAGCCCAAGCCAGGCAAATCTTGGAGGTCTTTTAATCAGGACCCAAATGTCAACTCCCTGATTTTTGAGCTCCAAGAAGCTCTTTTTGGACTTGGTGTTGTGCCAGGTGAGTTGTCTCTGCTGGCTGTTCCATGCTCCAGAGAGGATGGAGCAGAGGACAGGCTGGTTTATCTACAGGAACTGGAAGGAATTCAGAAAGCCTTTGGAATATGAAGCCCAGAGAGATGGAAAGAAAAAAACACGAGGAGAAAAAGGCAGAAAAGAAATCGAGCAGGGAGGAAGCAGCAAGAGGATGAAATAAATATGGGGAAAAACAAAGGCTATGGGAAAACCAGGCAGGAAAAAAGGGATGAGGGTGGGCACTCACGAGCAGGATCTGGCCAGGCGGCAGAGTCCACATGTGGGCTTCCTCATGAGGTAAATGGGCCATCCATAGGCAGCCAAGGCGAAGAGCATGTAGTAACACACCTCCCGGTACCGCTGCATCTCTTGCTGGAAGACACGGCACTCCCTGAGCCTGGAATCTCTTGGAATTTCCTCCCCATTCCCTTTTTCCATAGTTAGGCACGTGCCAAGTGCCAGCCCCATTTCCCAGCAGTGACTGAGGAGAGCGAGGTGAGGGTGCCAAGGCAAGAGCTACCCCCTCCCAAAGATTCCTCTGCCTGATTTCCTGAGGAATTCTCTGGGTATCCCAACATGCTGCCAAGGAAGCTGCTTCCTGCAGATTTGGAAATGAGCTCCCTAAATACCCCTTTCCAGCAGGCCAGAGGATGCCTGGAGAGGGCCGCAAAGCCAATTTAGGGTCATGTGAAACAGTTGCATCCTATAAAAGCTCAGTTATTCCAGAGAGCTGGATCGGGGGTTGGAGTCAAACACAGCAGGATAATCAGAGGGGAAAATCAGGGAGAAATCAGAGGTAAATCAGAGGAAGAGCTGAAGAGGAAAACGGCAGGGGGATAATGAGGGTGTGGAAATTTGGCAGGAAAATGAGGCAGGAAAATCAAAATCAGGGATAAATCAAAATTAGGGATAAGTCAGACAAATCTAAATCAGAGATAAATTAGGGATAAATCAAAATCAGGGATGAATCAAAATCTGGAAAAAATCAGGAATAACGGTTCTGACTCTCTTGCAACAATATCACCTGCCTCCAGAGATCAAGTTTCATCAATATCAAGCCTCCAGAGATCAAGTTTTATTCCATTCTCATGGAATTTCTTGGATTATTTCAAAGGGGAGCAGAAAGGCATAAGAGAGGCCAGTGAGGAAAAGAAAACAAGGATCACAGGTGGGATTGGAGGATCCCACATCCCAGGGACTTACCGCATTCTTCAGATCCAGATATTTGGTGTTCCTGGTCACTGGCATTCCAGACAGGAAAGCTAAAATGTCATTGTTTGCCTGGAAGTCACAAATACAAGAAAAATGCCTCTGTGTGACAGCAAGATAAAAACCTACTCTCAAATATCCGAACCAGGCCCCTCAAATACTTCCAATGGTTTTATTCCTGCCTGATTTGAATAACAATTCAAGAGGGGAAAAAAATCATTAAAATAAATAAATTTCCTACTGGGCTAACAATCTGCAAACCTCATCAGCAGCTTGGAAAACTGGGAATTCTTCCCAAATCCCAAATCAAGGGAAAAAACTCCAATAAAATAAATCCATTTCCTACTGGCTTGACAATATGCAAACCTCAATAGCGGCTTGGAAATTTAGGAATTTTTCCCCCTGCAGATTGCTGGAGTCTTCTCCATATCTTTGTACAGTGGGATTAATCTTCCCATTCATTTCCAAGTACCTACAACCCCCTTGGAGGCCCTTTTGGGATCAAGAGCTCCTCCTGTATCACCTGCCTGGAGAGGATCAACCCAGATTCCAGACTTGACTCAGCACCAGCTGAGCCCTTTGACATGGAAAAACTCAGGGAAAGCTGCTGAAGTCGCCATTATTTTTCTTTCCCACCTCAGCGAGTGAGAACAGCCCAGAAACGAGGTGGGCAGAGCCAGGCAGCTGTTTCCCAGGGAATCCCAGAGCAGCTGGGAAGAGATTCCCAGGTTTTCCCACCTCATCCAGCACGGCGTTGCGCTTGGCCCGCTGCCGCTGCCGCAGGAGAACCAGCCCCGCGATGATGTCAGAGGGGACGATGTCCAGGTCCCGGAAAAATTCCGCAAAAAGGTAGGCGATCTCGGAGTAGGCGTCCTGCAAAATCCAGGGAGAGAGAGGTTGGAGGAGGAGGAGGAGGAAGGGTTTGGGTGTGGGAAGCCTCAAAACAGGACACAGAGTGAGAACTGGACTCATTTCTGGAGCTCAGCCTCCGAAACAGCCACAAGATTCCTGCAGGGAATGCCGGATCTGGACTAATCACATGATTATTGTGTCTTGTTTGTTTTCCACAGTCCCACTCGGGGGCTGGATTTGTGCTGTGTGTGGGCACCTCGACATCCAAACAGCTCACACAGGACACAGGGAGGGAAAGGGAATGGCTTTGGCTCTCTCTGTTAAACAAAACAGAGAAAATGGGATGAAAACCAAGCAAATCCCAATCCACTGCTACCTCAGAATCATCCTTTCTCCTCTATAGCAGAATAAAGGCCATTCCATGAGGAAAAAACGCTAATTTTGTCCTATTTAAGAGTCTCTTCACTCTAACTTTGCCCTTTTTCCCATATTTATCCCAGACATGAGATCCAGACTTAACCCAATCTGGGAACCCTTCCCCAGATTTACCCCAGGCCTGAGACCCTTTTGCCCACATTTAACTTGCCTGTACTTATTCCAGACCTGGGATCTTTCTGCTCAAATTTAACTTCCCCAAATTTATCCCAGACCTGGGATCCTTTTGCCCATAATTTCAGGCTTTTCCAGGTTTATTTTGGATGACACTCAAGCAAAACGCATGAGAAGTAAAAACTGAGATAATCAATGCAGAATTCTCAGGAATTAAGGCAACCAAACCCAAAAAAGGAGGGACAGAAATGGAAGTGACCTGAGAGGCTCAAGCAAAGCCCTGGAGCAGAGGGCCAAAGATATTTTGAAGAGAAATGTCCTTTTCCCACTTTTTGCTCTATGCTACAGGAAAACAAAACCCACAAGACCTTACAGGAGAATATTTTGGGAGGCTGGAGAGGAGCTGGAATGTGGGTCAGTGCTGACCTGTCATTACTCCAGCCTAAAGACAAGGATGATTCAGAGGCTGAAGCAGTATGTGGAACTGTACCCACCAATGGTCCATATTTGACTCCTGCCATCCAAACCTTTTCCTACAAGAATGATCACAGCCTTACCTGAACCTTTATCCTGTGCTTTCACAGTATCCTTTATCCAGCATCAAAACCCACAAGTCTGGAGTGTTGTGGAAACCCTGAGCACTCCAGGACGGGATTTCTCCTCTCCCTTCTTTGACCATCAAGACAGTAAATCCCTTCTCTTCCCTGCAGGAATGACCTACATCCTTTTATCCCTGCCAAACTCCTGGCGTGTGGGATGACTTTCTGTCGTTTTTCACTTCCCTACAAAAGCCAGTTAAATCCCTATTAAGAACTGGGGCTCCAGGTGCCAACTCTCTGTGCCAGCAGTTTCTTTGGAGAGCCAACGGCATTCCAACCGCAGTATCCTTGAAAACCTGACCTCATCAATCCTAGCATGGCTCCTGTGAGCTCACAAGAAACGCCAAGAGCCTCCAAAGGAAACAGGACAAACACCCATTAATCCAAAGTGGCAGCTACAGCCCTGGATGCTGTGACAAAAAAAGGCCCTGATGGAAGTTCAAAGCATATTTTCCGCTCCAAAGGAACAGCTTTCTGTGGGAACACCTGACATTATTCCTGTTTGTCCACCTGGAGCGCTCTGCTACAAACCCTGAAGGCTCTGAGGCTTCAGACTTCACCCCAGATCCTTTCCCCAAAGCCATGTACATCCCATAAAACACTTTTCCAGCCCAGAGGACAACGATCTTCTGCTGCTACAATTTTTTTTTTCCATGGGGTCTGGGATAGGCAGCAATGGATTCATTTCTGATCCATTATGTGCTCATTCATTCCACTCGCTGCCATGCCAGGACACAACATCAGGGCTTGTTCCTGCAGAGAAAAGAGGCTTGAAATTGCTCAAAAGCTGGATGTAAAGTGGAAATTCAACAGCACGAGGAATGTGAGGCATTTGGAATCCACTTTTATTCCAAGCTTAAAAAAAAAAAAGAGAAACAGTCACTGCAGAAAGGAAAGTGTGCTAAAAAGAACTTGAAATATTTGGAATACTTTGCAATACTGAATAAAATGGGAGTTGTTCAGGGCATTCTGTTGCCTGTAAGGGCTCCCTCTCCCAGGATGCAGCATCCATGCTGTGACCTCAGGGCAGGAGTCTCCAGCACCTGGGCAAGGTGACCTGGATGTGCTCTCAGGGAGAAGGGAAGTGTCTCTGCTCTGCAGCACCAAGGAAAAGCTGCTGTGGGAGGTGCCAGGGCACAAAGCTCCCTTGGTCTCAGTTTTCCAGATGGATTTCCCCAGCAAATAAGCTGGGAGCTGGCAGGCCTGGGCTTGAATTTCCCAGAAGGACATTCCCAAGGAACAGGCTGGCATTTCAGCCAGGGAAAGGGATCCTGGGAGGGGCAGCGTTCCGGGACACAGTGCTGGATTTTTGCACAAGGGCTGTGACAATTCCTGAAGCCTTCCACACTCTGGAAGCTGCACCTGTGAATAATTCCACAGCACTCCCTAAGAAGTGCTGTTAATCCAATTCATCACCTGGGAACAACAAACGTTCACCTGACTCTCCTTTATATTTCCACTTTCCCTTTGGAGCTTTCAATCCCAAGTCTCACTTCTCTTCCTCTCCACGTTCACATCCCTTCCAATGTGCTCCTTTTCCCGCTGCATCCTTTTGGAGCACGAACTCTGGGCTATATTTAGTGAGGACATGGCGGCTGTGGTCGGTCCCTTGGTGTTTTCCCTGTCATTTTCCGTGCCCTTCTAACTGGAGTTAAACGTCTGGGCGGATTTTTTGGCCACTGCTGGTTTTGTTGGAATGTCCTTGATAAATCCCAGCTTTTTCCCTGAGAGGTTGTAACTAATTCAGAGCTCAGTGTCTGCAAGTACACAAATCTCCTGATTTTTATGACTTTCTCCTCCCTTTGGGAACAAGTCCCTGGTTCTGCTGGCTCCTTCAGGAGTCCTCAAATCCTTAGAATTATAACCAAATTAGTTAAATCAAAAGGAAATTTTTCCAGCACCAAAGTTGGACTTGCCTCTCCAGCAGGTCCTCAGGAATGCTGGCGAATCCCACCCTGAGGCACAATCCTGCTCCCAGTGATTCTAAGGAGAACGGAATGATAACTTTTGGGGAAGGAATTTCAAGGCCTTTACCCTTCCCTGCTAGAGAAAAGCAAGGGAAAGTCCCAATGGCAGCACATGAAAATTCCCAGTGATCTTCACGTGGCTCAATGGATTAGACAGTTTTTTATTGTCAGGAGATCCAGAAGGATTTTGGTGATTCTTCCAGGCTTTTGTTTTCCCATTTCCAAATTCTCCCCCTTAAGGGTGTGAGACTGATGGAAATAACAGGAGAAAGTGCTCAGGAAGGGGCTGATAAAGGGAAATGGGGGCTGCCCAGGAAGTGCTGCCAAATGTGATCCTAACCTGAGGGAAAAGACGGATTTCTCCCACTGATATTTTGATACCCAACAGGAGATTTGTGGTACCCACCGACTGGGAGTCCTTTGTCCGTGTGCAGCAAAGGAACACTTTGAGCCTGCGTGTCCAGCTGCTGGCTTGTCCCTCTTCCAGGCGGTGTCTGGGAATAAAGGGGAGAGCAGGAATGTGAGGAGAGGCAGAACATGATGTAGGATCCAATATGGAGTGGCACAGCCTGTGCTATCCCTGGAAAAATGGGATAAGGTTCCCTCAAATCCTCCTTTTCCCCAGTCTGAGCCCCTTCAGTTCCCTCAGCCAGCCCTGGTGCTCCAGCTCCTTCCCCAGCTCCACTCCCTTCCCTGGATATGCTCCAGAGAAGTGTGAATCCACAGGATCAAGCACTGTGTTTGGATACCTGGTATCCTGCCTGAAGGGGATGCATGGAATGAAGTTCCTGTTGCAATTTGGCAGCTGCTCCATGTGCGAGGATGTGCAACCACTCAGGAGGAAAAAGTTACCTCAGGGTGAGGGAGTGGGAATGGCATGAGAGACCAGAGTCATTTCAGACATGCAACTTTTCCCAGTCACAGAATCAAGGAATGCTTTGGGTTGGAAGGGACTTTTAGGATCATTGTGTTCCACCCCCTGCCACAGAAGTAGGGACTGATTCCGTGCCAGAGTGCCAAGCTCCCTGAAGTCCACAGCTCCTCTTTTTTTTAGGGAAACACAGACTTAATCCAGGTCAGAGCAATCCAAAATAAAACACCACTCCATTTTCTGGCAGGGTATCCCATCAGGATAAGCCCAAGCCCAGAAAGTGGGTTGCACCTGGAATGAAAAGATGCTGGCAAAGGAATATTTGCTTGAAATGGAAGGAGCAGATCCCACAGGGATCCATCAGCTCCTGCCTGAGTATCTGAAAACAGCTCTCCATAACCTTTCAGAAGGGGAATGGGAATATGAGTGGCAGCAGGGCTTTGCTTCCCCAGATTCCAAAGAACTCCAGAATTTCCCCGGTGGGGTTCAACAACCAAGTGTACTCTGAGCTGTTTTCCCACCATCTTTTCCCAAATTCTTTTTTCCTAACTTCCACACATTCAGTAGGAGCTCAGAAGCTCCTTGGAAAAGCCTTGGCAGAGCGAGCCCATCCTTTTATTGGGCTGTTTCTTCTTCCCAGCCCACATACACCACGATGCCACTGGGAAAGGAAAACCACCATGGGACACAATCCAGCCAGGCAGAGAACTTCCTCATCTATTCCTTGGAAAGGATTTCTTTCAGCAAGAGGGAGAAGTTGGGAATGTATCCTTTGGAAACAATTGTTTGAGCAGTGAACAGTCACATTTGATGTTTGTTTTTCACATCATAGCCCACAGCGTTTGCTTGTTAACAGCTGTTAACATTCCCTTTCCAGAGGGAAAATCCATGAACAGCAGGAACAAGCTCTCCATAAATGCTGCAGGCCTAGAGGGAAAAACCCAGCCAAGGGAGAAAGGCCTTCACTCAGCTTTCTGGGATCTCAAAATTCCCCAAAGAGGAGAGAATTTTGAGGTTGGTTTGAATTTACTTGTGCAAGATGTGGAGCTCAGATTTGCTTTGGAAAAATCATCACAGAATTCTGAAATGGTTTGGGATGGAAGGGACCACAAAGCTCATCTAGTCTCAGCCCCTGCCATGGGCAGGGACAGCTCCCACTGTCCCAGATTGCTCCAAGCCCCATCCAGCCTTGGACATTTCCAGGGATGGAGTAGCCACAGCTGCTCTGGGAAAACTATTCCAGTGCCTCACCACTCTCACAGGGAAGAATTTTTTTCCTTGGATGCAGTACTACATCCACAATATCATGCTTCTTATGTTCCTGAGAATGTCCTGATTCCAAGCAGCAATCACCATGCTAGGCACTAATTCCAAATATTCCAGGCCACTGTAACACACTGGAAAGGTCAGGAGGACTATCTGGCATTCCACAAAAAAACCCAGACTCCTTCCCACAGAACTTGATGCACTGTCCTTAGAAAAGCCCAGTTTTCCCTCAAAAGGGACCTCATTCCAAGTCATTGGAATACAAAAAGTAGACAAACCCAATGAAAAATGGGAAATGTACAGAGTGGTTTTTGGAAGTCTCATTTTTTATCCCTTGGATCCCAATGCCCTCCAAAGCCACATTCCTCAAGGACAGTCACATATCAAAGGAAACAAAGCCTGTTTGTGTTGTCCCCTACTGGAAAAAATCCTTCAGAAAAAGCTTTGCTTGGTGAAAAAAAGCTTTTTCTCTCCCCATCTGGGGAGCTCTAAGATGGAATCAACTCTTAATTAAAAGATCCAACTGCCAACACAAATGGAATTGTTCCTTGGCCAAGACTAAATAGGAGAAACCTCAGGGCAAAAGGTTGGATTTTGGAGAGGAAAATAAAGGAAGAAAGGGGATTTGGAAGGAGATGCTGCCTCGAAGTACGGAAAATTTAAGTACACGCTCACTGTTTCCATGGAAAACGCTGCTATGGGATACGGACAAACAGGTTGTTGTGGTCAGCACGGTCCATGAGGATCCACAAATCCAGTCATTAAGACAGAATCTAGCTGGATTCTGCATGGCTTTGCCTCCTTTGGATGCAGGTGCCCACACACAGCACCTGACAGGGAGCTACATCCTCCCAAAATCCCCTTCAGCAGAGCAGAATGGTCCCTGCAGCAAGGCAAGGAGAAGGGCAAGATCCCAAAAAAGCAGGACACCCTTCCAGAAATGTTGCTCTGAGAAGCTGTGGTTGCCCCATCCCTGGAAGTATTCCAGGACAGCCCTGGTATAATGGAAAGTGTCCCTGCCCATGGCTTAAAGGGCTTTAAGATCCATTCCAGCCCAAACCATCCTGGAATTCCCTGGCTTGAGGAGGACTTTGGGTGCCTGCAGCAATGAGGACACAGCATTGGTAACCCTGAAACCCTCCACTGGTTCTTCCCTTAAATCTTTGTGTCCTTGGAGAGAAGGGAAATTCAGTCTGCTGTGAAGACAGGCTGGGAGAGCTGGGAATGTTCAGCCTGGACAACAGAATGCTCCGGAGAGATCTTAGAGTGCCTAAAGTGGATCCAAGAGAGCTGGAGAGGGACTTTGAACAACGGGCTGGTGGGACAGGACAACAAGAAATGGCTTCCCACTGACAGAGAGAGGGTAGGGACGGATGGGATATTGGGAAGTGATGCTTCCCTGTGAGGGTGGTGAGGCCCTGGAACAGATTTCCCAGAGAAGCTGCGGATGCCCCATACCTGAAAGCATCCAAAGCCAGGCTGGAGCTACCTTGTCTAGTGAAAAGCACCCCTGGACATGACAGGGGGTTGGAATTCAATGATCTTTAAGGTCCCTTGCACCCAAGGCACCCTGGAATTCTGGGATCCCACGGAATGCTGCCTTACCTGAGGTTGTAGGTCCTTAGGTTGCGCTGCCGGCGCTTGGTGGCACGGAGCTTGACGAAGGTGCGTCCCGTGGGATCGAAGACACACAGCACAGTGATGCACACACTCAGGATCACCACCCAGTTGCACACCACCATTCCTGAAAAAAAAACCAGGAGTCACGTGCTCCGGCCTTTACTTCCTACCCCAAACTCCCGCAGAAAAAGGAAATCCTCTGGAAAGGCTTTTAAGCCACAGCTGGATGAGTGTGCTGGCTGTTTTATGGGGCCATTAAATGCTCCCTGAGTATCTGGGACTGCACCATTAACATCATCCCCACCAGGAGACTGGGAAAGGCTTCCAGGAAAACAGTAAAACCATTCTGAAGGGAAAAAGGGGAATTTACAGACCGCCCTTCCCTGGGAACACGGATCCCTGCCTGAGTGCCGGCAGCACAGGCGGATGAATGGAACGACTGTTCCGAGCAATAAACAGGAAAACAAGCCCCACATTGACAGCTCCCATCCACTTCCCAGAGTCAATCGGCACAGGCAGGAATGAAGGATGCCCGCCAATTGGTCGGAATGCTCCCAGGCCACATTCCAGCTCCGTACCCAGGGTGACACTCTTGGCTGTGATGTCGTTGCAGGAGGTGTAGTACTGTGTCAGCCACACGATGCCCACGATGGCGTACACGAACTCAATCACCAGGATCGCTGGAAAAAATGGGAACAGCATGGATGACAGCAGCCTTTTCCCTAAGGATGAGCTCCTCTCCCCATTTTCTCACAAGGAATAGGTATAAAAACACCTTGGAAGGGGATGCATAAGGAGATGAACCTAAAGGGCGACATGTTCCAAATTACTCCAAAAAAATGGGATCGTGGAGGGGTCAGCGCCCTTGTTTGTGTCACAGGTATGAATCAGAGATCCAGACCTTCCTCCCACGCTGCTGGAAAGACTCCCTGAGGCAGCAGGAATGACAGGACCCAAACCTTAACTACCTCAGACAGCTGGCCTGACTCACAGATCCGAAATATGTGAGTGTGTGGATCCAGGATTAATCCTGCTCACTATGCTTAGCAAACATTCTCAGCACCTTTGCAGCCCTTTCCATAAAAATTCCAAGGAGACAGCGCCTAAGGAGCTCCTCAGTTTTGCATGTGACTGACAGCAAACTAGAAACTGGGGATTAACAGTGCTTCCCTGGAACAAAAAAGCTGGGAAACTGATCTCAAGTGCCCATCCTCCCACTTTCTCCCCAGAATTCCAAAGGACACGGGGGCAAACAGGTGTGGAGAAGGTGAATACCTTGCTTGGGATTGCCTAAATTTTGGTGGAGCTGAGACTAAATCCAGCCTGGCTTACTCCACTCACCCTCCTTATCTCCTGCTGGCATGGAATCTTTCCATAAGTGGCTTTGCTACAGACCTGGAAAGACCAGTTCCAGGAGACAGAGCCTTCCTGGGCAAGGATTCAGGGCTGGGACTGGTTCCTGATGAACCCAATTTATGCCTGAGTTAGGTTTTGCTTCCCTTGGCTCTTCTCCCCTTTGCCTGCTGCAGGACAGGAGCAGCAGGAGCAGGGATGAGACATTCCCAGGTTCACATTAGAGTTAATTCCCTAAATTCCTCTGCATTAAACAGCACATGCTTAAATTGGGATAGTCACATGGACCTTGCCCACGCACTGGTCACGCTCCCACTTCCATCAGCACAACTGATCAACTACCAGGAGCAAAATACCCAGGGAAAAGGGAACACAAGACCCAAAATCCAGAGGAAATCCCACTCCTGAGCACACAGAGAGTTTACGGAAGAAGAAGGGATGTTTTGGGGGGCAGGAAAACCTTTCTTTGGATTCTCCCTACCTCCTCTACCCCGCTTAGTCTGGTTTTAATACAAACTGCCAGGCTCTCCATGCTTCCCTAGGGAGACTGGCTGGGAAGCTGGAGAGGGAGATTTGTTTGCTGTTTGCGTTAATGACTTGCACTGAGCATTCCAAGTCTTCCAGACTGAGCTTTCAAGCAAGGTTATCCTTATTTTAGTGGATTCTGGAGGAAAACAACACGCAAAAAGCAGGGATGCAAACCCACAGGATGATTTGTTTGGAATGGGCTTGGCTCTGCATCTTCAAAGATTTTTCTCTTAAAACCTTCATTTGGCACAGAAAAATCTGATTAAATTTCTGTACCTGAAAGGCAACAGAATCCAGGGGAAACAAGCTAAAAGGGAATGCGGGATCAAGGAATAATTCTCCCTGCTCTAGTTTTTGGAGACGGAGCAAGACAGGAATTGCTTATAGGAAGAAAAAGGAAGTGAGAAGGTGGAAAACCTATTTTCCTCCCAGTGCCTGGAGGGATGGATCAAGTGAGCCAAGAGGCAACACCTCGGGGTCAGAACCTTTGGGATTTATGCCTCTATCCTTGGAAAACGTAGGGGGGAAAAGAGAGACAGAAGGGGAGCAGACTCCATGAGTGGAAAAGGAGGCTATTTGGGACACCGCCTGCCAGTCTGACAGCCGTGACAAGGCGCAGCCTATGGATTCATCGGGATGCACGGCACATCCTGGCAGCCATCTGGCCGTGCCAGAGGAGCCGCACCCGGCAGGGAGGGGAGGCTGCAGGGAAGAGCACACAGAAGCGCGGAGGCTCCGGCCGCTTACCCAGTCGGACATAGAGGACGTACTGCATGGAATCCCGCGGCTCCGTGTACAGGATGCTCCCGCGCATGCTGAGCCAGATGATGGCCAGCTCGGCGATCATGCAGCTCAGCAGGATTCCCAGGTAGCCCCGGCCGTGGTCCACCAGGTTCAGGGAGCACGTCTCGTTGGGATTGTACACCAGCCCGAAGAGCACCACCGAGAGAATCACAAACCTGCCGGGCAGGAAAGCCAAGGGAAACCATGGAAGATCCCACAGCTGCTTCCCTCCTCAGTGTCCCACAGCTCCTTACATTAATCTTCATTTGGGCCCCAAATCCCCACAAGCCATCCAGAAGCCATTTCATCCATGACACATTATCCCATGGGATTTGCCACTGCAGAGAAGCTGTGGCTGCCACATCCCTTGGAAGTGTTCAAGGTCAAGTTGCATGGGGCTTGGAGCAACCTAGTGGGAGCCATCCCTGCCCACGGCAGGGGGATAGAATTGGATGGTCTTTAAGGCCTCTTCCAACCCAAACCATTCCAGGATTCCATGCTTGTTTGTCCTGAGCTTCTGTACAGAAACATGGCCCTAAATTCTAGTGGAGAATCTTGCGTAGCACAGGAGGATAACAAGAAGCTCTGGTCAGGCTCTTTGGAACTAGGCTAGAACTTGGAACAGAGCTAAGCCAAGAAAACAGAAGCTGGAAAAATGTTGGTGCTCATCAGGAATGCCCCAGCCAAACTTTCTGGCCCTGTATAGAAGTGCGGGGAGAATTTCCAGACATGCCAGGAATAGCCAGAAGAATTCCTGGGTGAATTCCAAGCATCCTTGTGCCCTTCTCACTTACCAGGTGGTGTGAAGAAGGAAGAGGAAGACGGCTGGCAGAACCAGGTCATCGCTGCCCACAGACCAGCGCCGGCGGAACACGACAATCCCTGGCATGGCTGGCGGGTCCCGGGAAGTTCAGCAGGCACAGCACTCACCTCCTGGAAAAGAATGGAAGCAAAGCTGCTGCCTAGCCTCTCCAGCCCCCTCTGGAGAGCCCCACAACCTGAAAGCCATCCTGGTTTATCCCAGAGCTGCTTCCTTCCAGCACCAGGGGGCATGGCATGCTCGGAAAGGAGAGCTGGTAGTTGAAGGAGTGGGAAGTATTAGGTGTGTAACTCATCCAGATCCACTTCATGGGATTACCTGGAATCCTGTTAGGCTGTGATGGTGAGCAGCCACTGTGGGATTTGGGACAGGTCATCCTGGCCTCAAATCTCTGGAAAACTCTATTACTGTGTATTTCCATGCACAAACCTGCTGCCAGGCTGTTGTCCAACAATTCTCCCCCCCACACTTGGCTCAGGAAGCCAAAACATCCATTAACAGCCAGTGGCAGCATCTGGGGAACTATAGACTGGCTCCCAACAGCACTTCCAGTGAGGATATTGGCTCCTAGGAGATCTCCCCCTGGACCAGCAGGAGCATCCTGCCAGCTCCACATCTCCGTCGCATCCACACCGGCCCTGACAGGCACGACCAATTCCACGGTGGAATATTGAGGAGCTGCTGTTCCTCCCTGGGTTTTGTTTGTGCTCCTATTTTTAGGGCTTCCCAAACCCTTTGGAAAATAGAAACAGGAGTGGTGCAAAGTCACGAGACTGCACAGGGCGCTCCAGCCTCCTCCAGCACAGCCATCCCACTCCATCCCTGCTGGCTATACTCCAAGCTGCTCCAGAGGGACTCTGGTAGCACACCTTATCCCACTCCTGCCTTCCTGGCTCAACACATGACCCACTACCAGGAATTTTCCTTGGTTTTGCCGAATCCAGGATGGTGTCTTTGCATTCTTGCCACAGACACCAGGGATTTCTGGATTTGGGGATCAATCCTGTCCCTCTTTCCATGACCTAATCCCTGTCCCACCTCTTACCTGTGCTACCAGGGAATGCTCCACCTCACCTGTGCCTCTCTGCTCCAAGCTCTCCCAATTGATCCATCCCAGTTCCCAACTCCACCAATCTCCCAATTCCCACATCCATGCACTGCTGCTGGAGTGCTCCACCCATGGCCTGCGGTGGCCATGCTGTTCCAAAGATGCATTTGCAAATCCGTAAGTGCTCTTGGATTTTTGCCTCTGTGAACCCAACAGCAAACAACAAAGTGTCCTCATCCGTTACTTACAACAGGATTTCCAACAGTATTCCCAAGGGAATACCACCTGCAATACTTCCTGTACCAGGCAAAAAAAACCCACACTTGGATATGATGCCCCTGATTTAGTGCTGTGGGTAAGACAAATTAGAAAGGGGAGGACATCCATAGAATTCCAACATAGCTTGGATAGGAAGGGAGCTTGAAGATGATCCAGTTCCATCTCCCTGTCATGGATTGGAACACTTCCCACAAGTCCAGGTTGCTCATGATTTAAACTAAAGTTGAACCTTTCAGGTAACACAAATGTTGTGTTTGAGACAGCCCATGTCACCAATTCCTGCCCTGTCCCACTAAATCCAACCCAGCAGTCAGGTGTGGTTACCACACCACTTCCCAGAATATCCCAAATCCAGAGTCTCCTCTCCTGTGCTGACACCCACAGCCACTGGAACGGATCTTCCAGTGACCCATTACTGAAAACCTACACAATCCCCTCAAATTCCAGGGGATTTCAAGTTAACAGGCCAATTCCAGCCGGTCACTCAGTTGAAGGAAACGCTCCATTCCACAAACAAAGCAAATGCAAAATTCCAATGCCATTTGGATTCCCACTTCCTCAGCACAGAATAATCAGAGCACTGGGTACATTCCAGCTCTACCTTCACTCCTCTGGCCATCTGGAGACTCCCTCCCAGCCCCATCGTGCCTGTCATTCACCACCCAGGACAGCTGGGATATCACAAACCCTGGATACACCTCCAGCACTTCCTAGCCCAGCTCCGTTCCCGTCATCCCTCGGCTGCATCCCACCAACGCGCTTTCCGGAACTCTTCCACCCCTCCAGTTGGGCTCTCCCAGTTCCTACCACCCTCTCCCAGTTTGAGAAGCAGGATATCAACGACAGCAACAAATATCCAATGTGGATTCCTTATCCACGGCAACAGATGGAGACAGAGCAGAGAAGCCTGTCACTCACTGTCACATACGGGAATACTCACTGTGGAACTGTCACTCCACTTACCAGGTTCCCAGGACAGGAACATTCCCAATTTATTCCCAAAGATTCCTGAATTTAAACCAGGAGGTTTGGGGCTTTGCCCCTGCTTTGGAAATGAGGGAAATGAAGGAAGGCCTGAGACTGGAAAACCCACCAGAAAAAACTCTCACTGTGAGGACTCTTCAGGTTCGTCCCAGCACAGCAAATCCCAGGAACTGTTTTAAGATGCTGAAGATATGATCCAGCAGAGGAATTGGGAGGAACCGGAAGGCTGGAGTGCAAAGAGCCCTGAGACCACTGACCCCGGCTCTGTGACAGCAAGAACCCTCACACTCTCCCTAAAACTGCTGGAAAGAGCCAAACATTCCCAGGGTCTTGAAAGCTGAATCCCAGTACAAGCAGCCCCAAGCTCCCAACACTGAAATAAGGGAAGCACATGCACAGGGAGCCCCCTCAGAGCCGGGCAAGATCTAGGGAAGCAGGAACCTTACATGGCATGTGGTCCAGCCGCTGCGCATCCTTCTCTCCCAGAAGGGTATTTCAGGAAAAGTGCATATCCAGGGAGACAGGCATCACAAGCTCAGGAGGGAACAGAAAACTCTTCCTGCAGCCATTGAAAATCCCACTCGGCAAAGGGAAGCACGGCGTGGGAACTGGGATCTGCCTGCCGACAGAGCCGGGCATCATCCTCAGAGCAACTCCCTCCCTGCACCTCATTTATCCACCGGGAATGCCGAGAGCCAGAGGTCGTGACTCCCCCCTTCCACACCCCCCAGCACCCTCTGGAAGGAAGTGACATCATCCCTATTCTGAGGAGATTGTACGTGGATTGTGGGAAGGAGGACTGGGAGCGAGAGCGGGCGATGCTGTCAGAGATGCGGAGCCGGGAGAGGAGGAAAACCCTGGAGCGGCACAAACCTCCTCCCTTTTCCCACCGAGAAAGCGGGAGCGCTGCCGGGAGCCCTCGGACACAGCCATGGCATCGGGCTGGGAAAGGCTCCTGGCCACGGACTCTCCAGTGAATGGCCAGGGGGAGGGGACTTGGATGGGACACAAAAGGGACACACAGAGGGGGCCACCCCGGGCACAGAAAGGAGAGACTGTTCCAGAGGAGCCTCTCCCGGCCTTTCCAGCCGTTAATTCCTTGTGACATGCTCTGGGCTATGACAGGATGTGGGGGAAGGGGAGAATTAGCTGTCTGTAGGGAAAGGCTTAGGGAAAAGAGCAAGGGAGAAAAACGCTACAGTGAGACAACATTCCAGCTAAACCTCGGAGACTTAGGCTAATCCAACAGCCCATCCCATCTGACATGAGCCTCCTTAGGGAGAAGTACACCAGGAAATAAAGCTGAAGGAAAAAGGCTGTGCCTGGATCCTGCATGCCAGGAGCCCACCCACACCACAGCAACACCCCCAGAGTAACCCACTCTCTCCACCCAAATCCAGCCGGATTTGCTCCAAGCTCCCAGAATTGCAGATTCCCGAGGCACCCACACAGCCCAGTACTCCAACCCCCTGCAATCCTCATCCCTGCATCCACAGGCTCACAACCCCCTGCAATTCTCCACCCCTATATCCAAAGGTTCACAAACCTCTGTTATTCCCCACCCCTGCAAATCCCCATTCCTGCATCCACAGGCTCAAAACTCCCTGCAATTCTCTATCTCTGCAATTCTCCATTCCTGTATCCACAGGCTCACAACCCACTCCAAATTCCCAGTCCTGCATCCACATACATACAACCACCTACAATTCCCTATCCCTGCACCCACAGGTTCACAACCCCCTGCAATTCCCCATCCCTGCATCCACAGGCTAACTCAGGATACGCACTTCGATCACCCCAAAACCTCCCCTGGTTCCCAGCCTCCTGCTGTTCAGAGCAAAAGATGGGAGGCCAAACCCAGGCTGAAATCGGATCTAGGTCACAGCATGGATGCTGCATCCTGCTTTTTCACTCTGCAGGATAACAGACAGTTCACTTCCCTAACCAACAGAATTGTCGCCCCATCAATCACCCCAAAATACTTCCTTTCCTCACCAACATGTCCCACATGGAATACGGGCTTCCCACTCCAGGCTGGATCATTCCCTTGCAGCTCCCAGAACCCTTTCGTTCCCACCAAGCACTTACTGGACTTGACGGAAATCATCAATTCCAGCTTGGATCCAACCCCACCAGGCCCCATCCAGCTGTTCTGAAGGGTTTTAAATGAGGCTCTTTCTGTTTCTGAGTTGGTTTCTCACAATCTGGGAATTGTTCTCGCCTTCCAGGGAGAAGGGGGTGGGTTATATCCACACAGAATGTCCTGAAGCTGGCCAGAGGAATTTGCATGGAGCAGCTCTGCTCTGAAGCCAGGCTGGGAGAGCTGGGATGGCTCAGCCCAGCGAGGAGAAGGCTCCAGGGAGCCTTAGAGCCTCTTCCAGTGCCTAAGGGAGGGAGGAGGCATGGAACGGCTTCCCACTCACATGGTGTGAGTTTGGATTAGATATTGGGAAGAAATCCTTCCCTGTGACAGTGGTGAGGCCCTGGAATGGATTTTCCAGAGAAGCTTTGGCTGCCTCAAGCCTGGAAGTGACAAATCCCAGCTTGGAGCAACCTGGGATAGCGGGAGGTGTCCTTGTCCACAGCAGGGGGTAGAATGGGATGAGCATTCCATGTCCTTTCTAAACCAAACCATTCCAGGATTGTATACAAGAGGGGACAAATTCCACCGCACCAAAGGAAGGCGAGTCCTTTCTGCCTTTTCCAAGAGGCAGGAAGTATCTGCTGCAAGCAGTGCCTGCAGGAATTGCAGGGAAAGCTCTTCCCAGGGGGAAGAAGGCACAGCAGCTGCCGGAAGCTTGT